AAAACCTGGAAATGTGTTCCAGATAAGCGATGGATATATTTAGTTAAATGACAAGGATCTGAATGAAAACAATGATCAGAAATAATTTTTCTTTTCAACAGTGGTTGAACTTAATTTGGATATTAGTCTTCTGGATGGACTTGATGTTGATTAAACGTGATAAACCGACGATGAAAACTTATTTCTCTATTAAACTTTGTCTGTGGATATGAATCGAATGACAGCAAGAATTTCTATTACCCTAACCTGTAGTAAAACTCCTATCCTACTGTCTCAGTTTTTGCAATTCTTTAAACTTTCAAATCATGCTTGGAACAGCTATGGACAATTTACGAAGATAGCTCTCGTAATAACAAAATTTTATCATAGTTCACACCAGCTTTGTATGTCGAGAGCATTTCACTCCTAACGTCATAATATGCGTATACTATTGAATGTATCGTCACTGACTTTGAATGAAATTGTAAACCGTGAAACGGGATTTTACTTAGTGGTTCTTCTGTATGATGTTTACAAACATTTTGAACAGGTAAGTATTAATTTTCAATCTATACTAATATGAACTGTAGTTTACAAAATTATTTATTAATAATCAAAACATCAGACTGGTCGTTTCATCTGCATATTTGTATGAGATTATTTATCATCATGCATCAACGTATGAAGAAAAAATTACCATTAATCAATCATACGGTAAACGAAAGACGGAAAAAGTTCCTCTTTAGAGTAACTGATAAAATAGTTGACATTTGTCTCGAGATTGAGAATTCTCTGTATTGACACGAATGGTAGACATAAATTACTTTCATTTTACACGGCATAGACGTTTCTTTCTGTATTTACAAATATATGAATCACAGTTAGCTAACCCATATTTGTAAGTAGTTAGTACAGACAATTTAAATCATTCTAACTATCTATCGAATATTTATTTCATATTTGCATTTGTAAATAACTAACTAGCAGACTTTAATACAAAAATAATAGTAATACTCTGTCATTAAACAAATATTGATTACTTATTTACGCCTGTTACTCCAAGTGGAGCGTAGGCCGCCGACCAGCATTCTCCAACCAACTCTGTCCTTCACTACAGATATCGAATTCTTTAAACTGTTCTTGTACTAGACTGATTATAATGTGATAATAAATTTAGTTTTGAAACACAGTTATCTTGTCATATGAATATTTTAAAAAAACAGTGAATCGGTATGAGGGTTACTATCACTTATCAATGTCCAATAAAGGTGAGATATCTAATATTTTCGCGCATTTTGTTCCTTCGTTTAGTGTGTCAGTCCAGCATATAAAAGTGTAATTTTCACTGAGGACTTCATATTGTTCATCTAAAGCCATATACGTATGTATCCTGTGAACACAACACTGTAGTACATCTGAACTTGTCAGATGAAAAAAGCAAGTGAAGGTTGTAGCTTAAAATGAAATCTTCAGTGAACATTGTGTACTTAAATGCTGCATTCACTCAGTAAATGAGGGTAGAAATGCTAGATAATTCACACATATTGATCATTGAGAAGCAGATGCTGGGCGAATTCACGGATATGTAAAATTCCGACGGTTTTAATGTCTAACATGAATCGATTGAAATTAGACAATAACACCGTTGGATGCCGTCTCAGTGGTCTAGAAATTAAATATTCGCTCGTCAAACCAAAAATCCTGGGTCCAAATCACGCGTGAAGGATCATGGACGCGCATTGCTAAGGCATCCCATACCAATACGAGATAGATTTCAATGGTAGTCTAGCTTATGTCGACTCGTGAACTTAGCTGATAAAATTCCTTACCCATACACCTTTGGGTTTAGGCTTATTATTTATTGGCGTGCATAAAGTTTAAAAACATGAATAGATAATTGTGATAAACATGTGAAAATGTGAAACTCAATTACTAATATTTTATCATATACCTTCAATTATTTTTGTTAAAGTATGTTGTGTGGGTAGTACAAAACAAAATATTTTTACCTTTAGCTTACATACTAAAACATTTAATTATCTAAATCAAAAGAATTCGTTATCAGTGATGTCGAATTATCCTACTGAGAATTAATGATTTTCTTCTAAGCTAAGCTCGTTAATACAATAGACTATATTTACGTTGACAACTATGAATAGAATAACCAAATAGAGTTTATCTGTAAATGACTATCATCTACTGAATAATAAATTGCAAACATTCATAGTTTTATGACTATAACCCATAGATTAATCTAACAATTTCCTTACTCATAAACTATCGGTTTTGTATGGTGAACAATGAACACTCTAAGAAGATTAGCTGGTGAATGAAACATAATGGTGTATATAATTTTTTTTGGAAAATCATGGTTTTCCAAATAACAACTGGCTAAATTCATGTGTCAGTTGAGGATGAATAGATTTTTACGGTCAATAATGACTGCGGAATATCATTTCATTTATGGTAGCTGAATATAATTTCATTTCCTCGCATTAAATGATCGAACTAGAAATATCAGATGCCTTTGTAGAATGCCTAAAGTAAGATGGCTGATTTTAGTAGTCGCTAAATTCGTGGTACGATACTCGGTTATTCAAATCACAAGCAATCAATCGGATGAGAATAATTCGAATCAAGTGCTGGACATAAGTTTCATGTTAGGCGGTACTCATCAGTAAGATGCACTTCCAACCGCTAACAAAACGATGCTACCTATAGGATTCTAAGCTGTGTCAACCAGTTCTGATCTGATAAATTGCGTCTAATTTATTAGGACTGAGTCTAGGATCCTCTAAGACTGAGATATTTGTATTCACTGATCACTGAGTCGTGACATGTTATGTTTGTCTAGTCGTTTGGATTCTATCAACGATATTCTAGATAAGTAATAAATCCTATAGACACGTCTTAATTCATTAATTAGTGATAGAAAACCTATTTTGATCTTGGTCCGTCCAAGTGTTTCGGTTAATTATTTCAAATTATTAACAGTGGCTATTCAGTCATATCGTGTCATTAAATTCTATCTATTAATAGACATTCTATTTACTTGAAGATCGATCAACGTCCTTCAATAAAATCATTCTCATAAAGAGCCATCTCGTAATGAGGCCACTGGTTGAAGTTACTCGAAATCGCGTACATAAAGTTTCAATATGACGTTGGTTGCTACTCAATGGTCGATCACAGCGACATAAAAACTCGCATAAAATGTAATTTTTTATCAATGAAAACGTATCATTTCCAATCATGTTGAACAGACCATACCTCATGACCAGTAACTTTAAATGTTGATATTTATCCGAAAGTTGTTATTAATTGAAAACTTTCTTGTACTTATACTTGTAATTAACCATTCGATGGCAAATTTCATTTGTTTTTCTATCGTGAAAGTCTAATCATGCATTTTTCGCAGAAACCATCTCAAGAAACAATTATACAGTAATGGGAGACAGATTGACTATGAATTAGTGTTATAGACACGCATTGAACACAAGTTGTTGAGAAACGGTTCAACAACAGTTCGTCAAAATCAAGGTCGACAGAACAAGTTGTTGGTAGTATGTAGATAAATTCTAATAAATTACTTCCATCTGAAGTTTGTGTTGACGATGTTGTCTTAGAAGAATATAAGCTTCATGATTAAAACACTGTTGAGAAAATGCAACTTCGCATAATTTATTTTATGTATTATCATATCGTTCACATAGTAAAATATTATCTAAAGATCATTCTGTTTATAAAACAGAAAATTTATTTAACGTATATAAACGCATCAATCTATAAACTACTATCTATGAAATAGTAATTGTTTATGCCTGACCGAGAAATGAACAAATTGGACCAAATAACGTTTTATATCATTTATTTTGATCGAGAGAAAAAAACAAGCAAATAATAAAGCAGTGAAATACAAGGATATAGGTGTATTGAGTATCCTTTTATTTCTTTACCTGTTCAACTCTCTTATGTAATATATGCATCGATAACAAAAGACGTAAGATGAAAATAAAACAGTAAAACATTATATATATATACATTACTATTATTATCAGTGAGAAGAAATGGTCAGTCGGTTAGCAACAACGTAGAACTTCGTACGTACATACATAAATTCGAGTTGTTATACCACATTAGCACAGAGATGCAGTTGTCAACTCGCCGATTCCAGCAACAGATAGTCCATATCTACAAACATGACTCAGTCCACTTGTCAGTGACTCCACTGATTCGTGCCATATTTTAGTCCAGCAGCATCTAGCTTTCTTCCAACCTACTCCTATACAACAAAACATAGCACATCGAGGCAGTCGGTCGTTGGACATACATACACGTGTCCCAGTCACCTCAACTGATGAAGTTTCACTACGTCATCAATTGATTTGCCATCCTTACCTAGTACCCGTTTCCTAACAACTGCGTTATTTACACGATGGTACCAGGATATACGAGCAATGTTTCGAAGACACCTTTGGTCGAATACTAGTAACTTACGAATATCATCTACTCTTACCGGCCATGTTTCACTGCCATAAAGTAGGACGGAACGAACTGCTGCACAGTAAACACGTCCTTTGTTCGATAGACGGATATCTCGCCTACGCCATGAATGACTCAAGTTGGCAAAAGCTAGTCAAGTCTTCTGTATGCGTGCTGAGATTTCGTCACACACCAGACCACAAGAGCTGCTGAGACTCCCGAGATATGTCAAGCGATCGATACGCTCGATTACTTCACTCCCTATCATTAGTTCGGGTGTCAATGCAACCCAATCCTGAAGCAACATTTTGCGTTTGGAGAGGGAAAATCGCATGCCGAACATGTTAGCATTGTTGCTTAGAGTGGTCGGAAGACTCTGCATTTTGTCAGCGTCTTCACCAAATAAAACTATGTCATCAGCATATTCTAGGTCAAAAAGTGAATCTCCCGGCAGATGTTCAACCCCTGGAAATCTAGACGATGAAAGTGTTATCTGTAAAAGTACGTCGACGGCAAAGTTAAACAAGAATGGAGAGAGTGGACAGCTCTGACGAACACCACTTGAAGTAATCAATTCTGATGACAGTTCTCTATAAGCTCACAAGAAATGGGAAATTACTAAAGCAAACAAAATACAGATATATGCATATATCAAGAAAATTTTACAGGTCGAAGTGACAAAAAAGAAGAAGATAAAACTGAGAATTAAACAGTATTCATATTCATCAGTAAAATAGTAACAGATCAGATTACTACAACTATTATAATTAATCAAACTAAACTGTATAGCACAATAGATTAAGTAGTCTGGAAATGTTACATTTGTGTTAGTTAATATGAATGATCAATGAATTGATATGATCATGAAAAAGAATAATATGATAATCAAATCACTACACACATACATACAATTATGTACACATTACATTCATATATTGATTGAAAGAGAGAGAAAAAGTGAATTCACTCAAGTAAACTTATAAAAAGCAGTAGATTAACATAGTATTTTATGAATAAAGACCAACTTATTAAAGAGTAATAAATAATACAAACGATAATAACAATAGACATTTAAAACAATAAGAAAACAGGTAAAAAAAAAGAGAAGAAACTAAAGAGTAGTTGAATATGATGAAAACCAAAAAAGGAGAGAAAAGGAACCATCAAAAAACATAAACATACACAACGGCGAAAAAAAAACAAACAAAACAAACTAGATAATACAAGTATGTATATACATAACATAACAAAAAATACTTTCAATTAAAGTATAGAGAACAAATTGTTGAAGAACATAATAGACTAACTGAATGTACAAATTCAAGTGTATATATAAATATACGAAAATATGAATGAAACTGATTATTATTATTATTATACAATAAAGTATAGGATGAGGGGTTAAGACTTTGTAAACTAAAGAAATAATAATCAAATGCTTAATACATTTCTATAATAATACCATCAACTAAAGTGAAATAATTCATTCACTAAATAGATTGTTAATGTATATTATTATACAGATTACAATAATTAAATGATTAATTGTCAACAGTTGGTCGACTTAGTAACCAAAAGTCAAAAAAAATATCTTAGATACATACATGATCAACACATCATCATATATATGTTGAATGGAATATACAAATAAAATTTAAAAAAAAAAGAAAGAAACGATACCTTTAAATCATTATTTGTTGTTATTGGATTATAATTGTAAATTATAGAATAATAATTCAAAGTAGAAATTCTTTTTAAGAAAAAAAAAATAAAGAGAATAACCACAAAACAGAAATAATAATAATAATAATAATAATGATCATTTTAAGTTAATCGATTAGCCAATACAAATTGATGTGTTTTCTCAGCTAAATCAATTAGAACTGAATAAATATGCGATGATAATGAAATAGGATAAATATCTGTAATTTTATTATCATGATTATGATTTTTTATCGGTGTAGAATTGTTATTGATTGTAGAAGTGGTTATATCATTATTATTACTACTATTATTATTATAAGTAGTAGTAGTATCATTTAAGTGATTAATGGAATTATTATTTGTTCGACAAATTGTAGTTGATTGATGTTTCGGATGATATGCTTCTAATAAATAATATGCTAATTGAGCTAATTCACGACTAAGTGATTTACAACTGGCTTTACGTGCATCTGTTTCATATAACTGTTCTAATTGTTTCATTTCATTTGTTGACAATGGAGACTGTGAAATGAATATAGATAAGAATAAAAAAAATTATTAATTATATAAAATGAAGTTAGTTTAAGTGAGCGTTTATAAAGATTATATAAACCTGTTGAGTAGTTAACATTCATCATAACAAAGAGCAGTATAGACCAAAAATATTAGTGTATCATCATAGTGAGCGCTTAAACGTTAGGTTGTGATTCAGTTTACTTTATACTTCTACGCTCAAATAATTTTCAATATAGATCAGCCATCTATCAATATCATTAACGAAAAACTGTCTCCGTTACATCACATGGTTGAAATGGACTGGTCACAGTTTCTTACTAGGATTTAAGGAATCATCTCTCGAAATTATTTACCTAATGAGCACATGATATTCACCAAAGTTGCAGATGTACACTGGTGAAAACTTGCACATTTCCAAGTCAAAAGTATTTTTTTTCACTAATTGTCTAACTAATGTTACTTTGTAATGTAAACCTTAGCAATGAAGTTACTTTATTTACAAAGCTAATAATCACATCATAATACATGGTAGGTGGATAACGAAGATAAGTTTTGTACATAGTCTGTAATATTAATTATAATAATATGTCCTCTCTATTCATAAGTACTTTATCTAAGCTTAATACTGAGGCGAAAAAATTTAAAATAATCAATAGCTGAACTAATACAACATCTTGTCAATGCTGGTCACAAAGTAGAACAAAGTGACTCTAGTGTATATGTATAAACAGAATTTAGAACGAAAGAACTTCACTGAAAAGTGAGATTTTTGCTTTTAATTTCACGAATAGACTATGACACATTGTGTTTAAAAATAAAAGGTAAGGTAATCAGAAACGCAATCCTATCTGTAATGTCTACAAAATTGTATTTGAGAATTGCTGATTGAAACTTAGTTACATCTGAAGAGTTTCCTGGATATGAACTACTGCCGAAAAAAATAATTTCTTCAGAATACATAAATTCTTGATCATCTTAACAGTGTTTTTAAGAGCCTTCACATCAGAACTCGGTATTTGGTTATGGTCTTCTAATATTTCACTGGGAAATATCGGATAAGTGTCTCCACTAGATATACTCTTACCATATATAATGAAGTGTTATCTAGCTTACATACAGTAGTAGACTTAAGTACTCCTACGACTTGTCGTTTACAAAACAGATATTGAGACAGACTCCCAAGTCTCAACGTCTTAGAGGCTACATAACTCGGAACCTTTATAACAATTAATCACGTATTTTAATGTACAAAGTTTGTGATCGACCACTCCTACAGTACTGCATGTTTATTCTTAGTAGTGCGCGCATAAAGGATAAATTAAGGCTGCAATCAGTACAGAGACGATTGTACCTTGACTTATAATTCTAGATGTTATAAACTTCGGCTCAACTTTTTATGAAAGAGCACACTCAAACTAAATCTTATCATTTTCTTCAAAATACTTAATAAACTGTCCTTTAAATCCAACCAAGTAATTCAATATGCAGAAACTCACTACGACATCCGTAACTTCTTGTCATTAGTGAAACAAACCCATTCTATGGGAATTACTCTACCTGTAAATTATCTAGACTCCGGAATAATCTACCACAATCTAACCGTACGATAAAATCACTACCATTCTTATTAAGGAAGTCCCTAAGTAAAATCACCTACCTACTGTCACTTTACGTTAACACTGACCCTAGCAACCTTAACTAACTTGAATAATATCTAACACTGTCAGTATATCACTGTGTCACATGATACGTGTGTTATAGTGGACCTGACTGATATACTTTGGTAATTATTGCTTTGTTGTTCCATGCTTTCTATTTTCGTTTTACTTTCTCTAGTTGTAGATAATTATCGTAAATTCGATCTGGCACAGAAAATGATCTTAAATACACCATTCATTAATGAACAGGCTGTTCACTTAAGAAAAATTAAAAGTTCTCGGCTGCTGTAATACATGCACTACCTAAACAATTTCTGAATTAGTAAACGTAAAACAATCTTATGTCATATTTTTGTTCCCTACATCTAATGTTACTATTTATATCAAATTGATCATGCTTGTAACCTGGCATGAATTCTGTAATTATTATTTTCAGAATATAAACATATATTAAAATGAACAGTGTTGAATAAAATGTCACAAAAATCTGTTATTGAGGTATATGATATGATGTAGAATGTTTGCCTTTAAAATAAGTCGTGAATGACATGATGTCAATGGTAGTAAGAAAAGACTACCTGAAAAACAATACGTTCCGAAATGAAACAACAAATTCACAGAATAAAGTATTAGATTAATTTAGAACAAAAAAAATTGAAGAGAAGACAGAACGTGGATATATCATCGCCGAATTGTGATTGCATTTGACTCACTTTAGACGTCTCTAACCAGTGGTTGGAATTATTGAGCAGGCCATCAGTTAGTTTGAACATACCTGTAAGACTGTATTTGACAGTCGATGACTTCACAAGCTGAGAAGACATATCATGGTTTGGTTGCTCTCAGTTTTCATTAGACCACACTAACCGATTCGCTATCTTTATCTAGTACCCTATATGTAACCTCAATATTGCTCGCTACTCAGTGGTCCCAACATACATGAACAATCTACCCAAGAACTCTTCTACACACATTAAACTGATCGTGTTTATTATTACTACTTTTAATTCAAATGTTGAAAAAATATGGAATTATAATACGACCGATCATCTGCAATGTTATTACACGATATTCTGATGATTATCACTAATCATATAATATATACTGAAATATAGCATGATTTCAATCGAAGAACTGTAAGAAACAATAATATTCAAAAACTGAATCTTGGTTGTTGTTTAAGTTAGACAGTAATACACACATATATGCATTGTTTCATGCTGGAATACTACATTGGCACAGTGAGATAGTTATTTCCAGAGTAGTGAAATTAACCAAGTCAACAGTAGTAATAAGAAACATTAGGTATAGAAAAGAAAAAAAACTTAACAGCATTCCGGAACTTAGATAATGAGTGAGTGTTCATTTTCGAACAATGATAATTTACCGTAAAAAGACTGTTGACTTTTCATCACGAGCTGATCTTAATGCGGGTTGTGAATGGTCAGTGATGAGAAGTTCCATATCAGGACAAAAGAGCCAACTAATATTTGGTAATTTTCAATGATTGTTTAGATAACATTTATTTATTTAAACACATAAACATTACTACAAGAAAGCATCAAATAGATATGCACCACATAAATCATTCGATTTGTGTGAAGGCTGGGATACTGCCCTGGTGCCCAAAACCGAAACAGGTGGTTTCCTAAGGCGACCACAACCGGAGTCTTTGGTCTGAAGGTCTGATCCAAAGGGCAGTACAGCAACGTTAGAAGGTGCAGTCTCATCACAACGGGCGAACACTAATAGGTTCATACTCTATTTGTTCCCTCAGGATACCGGAGCCCATGTGCACCATTAAATTTGGAATCAGGGTTTTCCTAATGCCCAAGGTGAACTCTCTGTGTCCACCGACCTGGTTAAAGCACCAGACATTCGCTTTTCGTATTCTCAATTTCCTGAACACCCTTACAACGAAAATGCAGTGAGTAGGACTTCCATGGCAATGGTTGTGTGCACGTGGCTATGTGAGAGCTGGCTCTCTCCATTCACGGCCGTACCAGAGCGTTTGTGAGCATTAATTTACATTAAATGTACAAATTAAACAAATCAAACAACAAACCAATAGCAACTAATTGTGTTTTCAATTACTTTCAAAAATTATATGCTTAAAACACAAAATGTAATTTATTCAAATTAACATAGATTTCTAAAATAGAACAATGACTTACAGTAATAGGTATACGAAATTCATTTAATAATCTTGTTCGTAAACTCATAAATTGTTCCAATGATAAAAAACCATCAGCTTGTGTTTTCGGTGTTTCATTTAAACCGACAAGAGCTAATAATGTTTTAGCTATTAAAGCAAATGCCTACAAATAATTAATACGATAATCATTACTTAAAAATATTATATTAAGTAGTAATAAAGAAAACAAATTATACTCATATGTATATAATTTTTATTAAGACTAGGTTATGAAAGCGAAACTATTCACAGATGAACTATACTAATGAATTATTTTGTTTAGTGATTAATGGGATGTATGTCAAGTACTGCTTATTGCTGATCAAATTTCGTTGGAGGAATCGCAACACGGCTACTAGTCTACGGGAATCAACATCACGTGCACAATGTTAAAATATAAGGTGGAGGTTGGGGATAGTCGACAGAAAACCTCGCTTGATTTATGTTTCGTTCTATTTGCCACTCATTAGCAAGGTGTGCTTGTAATTTTGAAAAGAAAGATGTCCCCTAGTGGATGTGATCCCGTACCACTCAGCTTCACGGTCAGACCGATTACCGCTGAGTTATTCACGCCACAACTACCCTCTTACATGACTGAAATGTATTTACCACTGACTAGTCTCTGAGTAGTGACTAATGTTGTGTATGTCAAGTCCTTCATAGTGCTGACTAAATTCGATCGATCATGTTACGGACAAATCTAACTGACAAGTACCGAATAGCACGAAACCTAGGTTCAGGGTTCCCTATCGATTACCTTCAACCATCATAAAACTTTGTTTAAATGTTTTCTATTATAAATAAATAAAAATCCAACCTCGATATATATTTAAATTGGTACATAAATATTGGTTCAGATTTAGTAAGTAAGAAAATGGGAAGAGTGATAAAAACTCAACTAAAAGAACAAACAGGAATTAAAATTTATAAATGAATGATTGTTAGAGAAATCAAATGAGAAAACCTAAACAAAAGTAAATTTTCATTCAAAATCTCACAATGTTATAAGAGCCGAAATAGACGACATGGGACTAGCATTATCTCAATCACAGTCCGATAAAGGAGAACATCTCAGATAGAATAATACTGTACACTTACTTCAGATGCATGTGATGGAACAGTTGGTGAATTCGCACCAGGATTCAATTGAGGAAAAGAAGACCATGAATGATAAGAATTAGTAATTGAATTTGTATATGATGGATGGAAAACATCATTAGGAAAACCAGATAAAATACCGTGAATAGATCCATTGAGCGATTCTGAACAAATTGTTTTACCCAAAGATGAAAGCGAATATAACACTGGACAAAGACCACGTAGAAAAACTAGATTACACACAACAACATTACTATGATTAGGTGAATATAATGCCTGTAAAAGGGATTCAAGAAAAAAGGAAAACAAAAAAAGTATTCTCAGTATGGATGAACGAAGACTGTAGAATTTCATTGAAATCATGAGCCGATCTAAGTTAGATCATCAGTGAAGAACAAGAAGTACCCTGAAACGGCCATCCAGTGCTTCCAGGTTCCCAATAGTGGTCTAACTTACATCAGTTCATGATTTTAATGAAAGACAAAGTAATTCAAAATGATAAAAATTATACAAATAATAAAGTTTTGCCTTTAAAATAAATCTAAAAAATTTGCACATTTAATAAAGTGTATAATAATACCACAGAAGTATAAAAAAGGATGGAAATATCTAGGAATATGACATAGATTTTTTGTAGTTAAATGATCATTTTGATATGCCCGCAGGCAATATGTAACAATAAACTACATCACAGGATTGTCTACGGTAATAAAATAAGAAAGATCTTAGGTAATATTGTGGTGCGTGCTGCTTATATTTATATAAGTAGTATATTATGCGAGTCAGGAATGTAATGTCTGGCAGCAGAAGATGAGGGAAGATCAAGAAAGCAAGAGCGGTAATAGAGCGCGATTTGTATGAAGATGTGAGAACAATTAAACCTGAGGCATTTTGAGACAACTGGTGGTCATTTAATATATAGTTCTCAGATTTTATTGAGATGCTCTGTAATTTTGTGTCAAATACATTTGATTGTCCCCATCCGTGTTCTGTTCACTACAATATGACTTATGATATGATGTAGCATAGCAAAGGTACTTACTACTTATCACTGAATTCTGCCAGAAAACATGCTTAGTCGCGATATTATTCTTTTACATCATTCCTACTTCTCGAACCATAATATACTTAGTCTTCCATAAGGATGATACATCACTCCAAAAAAAACAAGACATCAATAGCCTTAAATTTTTGGACGATTTAAATAGGTTTAAGGAAAAACGCAGATAAAGTAATCGTTTCCAACAACTAAGTGTTAATAGTAATTACTATAGTATGACCACAGTGAATAAATCAATACAAATGTACCTGTAATTCTGAATAGATCCAACGAATTTGTAAAGGAAATGTGCGTACATACGTAATCAAGTCATCCACAGCAATGGAGAGTAAATGGTGATGCCACTCTTGTTCACGTGTATGATGATGTTGAAGAGAACCTGAATGAAATATGTAAATACGTATATATGTTAAGATTGTTTTAATATTATACGGAAAAGATGGCTCAGAACGGACCACAATGTCATAGGTGTATACACTCTTTGTTTTCCCTTAAACTATGAGATTAAAATTATTTCACACCTTTCTTTCCACGAACTAATTTTTTTCTTTCTGCACTATGTCCTTACATAGAATGTTTCCTTTACACATTACACCATCGAGTTAACTGCTTCTATGAATCCGGTGTTCATCTTGCTGCGCTAATGAGTTGTGGCAACTTGAACCGATGCATGTATGTGTCTGGTCCTACGTTGTAACTGACTAACGGAAAAGGTTATCAAACTAAAGAATACCACTGAATGACCTTAAAACGCTGATCCGTTTCGACCGATCAGAAAGCAGTCAAAGCTTTATATAGTGTCAAAGTCAATGTGACATATATTTACTTAAAACTAATTATATAATTAATTTGAAAATTATGTAACTTACTTTGATTAGGTGTAGTAGATGAGATTTGGTCGAATTTCACTGAACCAGTGGCACCAGTTGATAATGAATATGGACGTGTTGTAAGTGAATAATGTGAATTGATAGAATTGGTACAATGATGAGAACTTTTATCAACAGAAGGACGTTGATTGAATGTTGATTTTATATTGCTAGCACTATTACTTTGACTTACATTAAGAGATGGGTTTGAAGATGTAGTTGAATGATTAGATTTTATTGACGGTGGACCTTCCAAAGCTTTTTCACATACACGCCGAAAACACTGACTACGCCAAGCTGAACACACAGTAGTACTATAGATATCTAGTATTTGTGCTCCCAATGAACTGCCCCGAAAAGAAGCACCTATGAATAAAATTTACAAGTACATGAAGAAATACTACTGTTAAATCAAATACCTGATAGTGTTTTTTAAACTCAGGATAATACATTCATCTTATATCTTATGATCTGTTATTTGAAGTAGATGGGTTATATGATACTCGTCAAAGATGACAGCTAATTTCGCTCAACGTTATTATAGGTTTCTGTTTCTAGATATAACACACATAACAGAGGAATTGACCAATTAAACTAGAGAATGTAGATGAGGCTAGTGAAATGAATGAATGGTGGCTAGCAGTGGAATCCAGGACGCGCGTTTCGTCCTACCATTTACATTTTTCAGTTATGTTGCGAGGGATAGTAAGATATCTATTGGTAAATCAGATCACAAATGTCTATTATATCATAAACGTAATATATAACATAAAACGAAGTAACTAGAAAAAGAAACATACTTGGCTTATCATTATTTACTTCAATTCGTAATAAATTGACAATCAACTCTAAATGACAATTCAATTCGATTGTTGTTAATAATAGACTGGTAACAAAATTCATTTGGTTCATATTGTGTGCGAATGATTTCCAAACATGAATACAAAGAGGTATAAATTCAGAATTCATATGGTTTCTTATTGTCTGTAAAAAATATACAGAGGGAAAAACATACAGCCATTATGGGACCATAAACGAAAAAGTCAGTCAATTGTTTTTAAAGTGCACTAGGTTGGCAAAGAATGTTGAGTTTCATTATATACAATGTCACGAAATGACCTAGGTTAGACAACCATCGAAAAATTGAAAGCATTGGAGAGATGTTTCATTTTAGTATAAGATTAATCAGTAATGTCTACTTACAACGCCACTGAGGACAGAACCGAATAGCGCGAATTGATTGCATTTAAAAACCTAAACGACTGAATACTGACTTAGTATTCTAAAGGTTAAGAGCGTTTACCGATGAACCTGGAGGCTCTGGGTTTGATACTCGATAAGTTTGTGGATGGTCACTGATGAGATCCTAAACTAAGACCAAGCAGTCGCCGTTTCTATTTATTTTATTTATTGGTACAAGAGGTACCATATATATATGCGACACAGCCGCCTGAAGAACCCTGTTTTGATAAACCATGATGTAAAGAATATCACCTGTAACGTAAACGGCTTTGAGTTAGCCTGTTTAACTTTGGTTGTTTAATGTTTCAATTCACCATACAAAAATGAAATAGAGGAAGAAGAAATGTAGCTTACAAATTATCGGTTGAAAGTCAAGCGTTTTATCTATTACCTCACGGGTTCCAGGCGTTACGCCATTTGAATTTTGAAGACAATACTGTACACCAGTTTAAGTGATACCTAAACCAAATGACTCATCCAAATCGAAGTTTGGAAGTAGCACAGAAGATATAAAAAATTTATCCAAAACGGAATTAATCCACTATCAGTATGGTACAGTTAGACACCGCAGTAAAACAAACTGCCAGTGACATTTTAGTCAATGTTATTTTATAGCAACTAGCTGATCCCATAATTTAACTATTTTCTAATATATATATACCCCCGTTCGAGATGGATAGGACATACAATGCGGAAATTATCAAGCTGCATCACGAGTTAAACGATAATTCGGAATCGTGAAGGGAAATAGAAAATCGGAAGGAACATATTGTGCCGGGAATCGGCAGAAGACACTAATAGAGTGAATAGCAACTGGAAAGGATTGCATAGAACAGATTCGATGAAAAATCCTGGTGGGTGGCCTATGCTTCTTCTACGAGGGGTAACAGGCGTAAGTTATATATATATACTAAGTAAAATTGGTAAGACAAAATGGAAACAATAAAATTTGCAAAATCTGTAATTACCTGACGAAAACCTTCATAATATTGAAAAGGAATTACGTGTAATTCTTTATAAATAATAGATATTTGACCATTGCTACGTTCTTGCGTATCACATATTGAATAATGGAGAGGAGATGTTGGCGATAATGAGAGAGATGCCGATGATGAATTACTAGCAGAAACTTGTTTATCAAGATCTGCAATCGTAGAACCACTGGAATTTGTAGTAGCATTGTATTGGACTATATCAAAATCGATCGCGACTGGAAAAAGACATTAAACATCAATTTATTAAAAAAATTATTTTAAAAAAATTGTCTAAAACTCCAAGAACTGAGATACAGCTAACCGTGTTGAATTACTTAGATGAATGTCTTCACAACATACCGACGAGAAAAATGGTTATTTAAAACCTATTCTTGTCTTGTGATGACGGGAAATTTTGGTACGGATAGGTCGGCGGTCTATATAATCAACTTTATACTTGCAGCAATCCACACCTTTAAGTAAGCATTTCGTTGGACGAAAGGTAAATCGTGCAGGTTCTTTATATTGACAAGGTCAGGTGAAATGAATGACTACACTTGGATCCTATATGGGCGTTTAGGTGACGCAGCATAGATCGATGACGTTAGATTATAGAGTCTTAGCCAAAGAATCATGCTGCCCAATCTAAAAAAAGGTTCGATCATACAAAGCTCCAACGTGTAGTTAAGAGAGTGATTTTTAGAAACCAGGAATAACCTTTCGTGAATCCAAATTGTGGTGTGCACTACTGATGTCGAAGATATAAGTAGTATGCATCATCATTCGAAAATGGAATACATGAAGACAGGAGGTCAAGAATATAGAAGGAAAGAGAATGAAAACAGAATGATTAGTGTGAAAACGAATGAACAAGGAAGTTTGAGACGATTGACTGATATTCTGCAAATGAAGTATTTACTGCATGATTCCCAGATTTCACTAGGGGAGTGTGACAATGGTGGATGTGTCGCTCAATTTCGTCGATTAGTTGAAGTTAGACATTAACACCGTTGGATACCGGCCGGCTCAGTGGTCTAATGGTTAAGTGCTCGCGCGCGAAACCAGTAAGTCCTGGGTCGGAATCTCGCACGAGCGAGGTCGTGGATGTGCACTGCTGAGGAGTCCCACAATAGAACGGCCATCCAGTGCTTCCAGGTTTTCCATGACGGTCTAACTTCAAATGACTCATGATCTTAGCCATTATTATTATTTATTTATTTAAACACATAAACATTACTACAAGAAAGCATCAAATAGATATGCATCACATAAATCATTCGATTTGTGTGAGGGCTGGGACACTGCCCTGGTTCCCAAACGGAAACAGGTGGTTTTCTTAGGCGACCACACCCGGAGTCTGATTTAAAGGTCTGATCCGAAGGGCAGTACAGCGACGTTAGAAGGTTTTGATGGAGTTTTGTTCTTTGAGCTGGATGGTTTGCTCGTGGATCTTTCCTCTTTCTTCTGAATGACATCATCAGCACAAACTTCAGATACAAGTGAAGTGTTCGAATTTCTTCATATGCGTTTCACAGCTTCTTCTGTACACCTCGATTTTGATTGATTCTTATTGACCTTAAATTTCTCATTGCTTACATCTTTGTTTTGGTTATTTCTCCCATTGGTTTGATTTTGGTTCTTATTACTATATTTGTGCACAATTTTCCTGATTGGTTGATAAATTGCTTGTTGATTGCTGATTGACCTGAGTGCCAGGCTTTTAAAAATTCTACGGCGTTTTTAGAATTTCCTCTGTCCAAGATTTCCACATTTTTCCAATCGAATGAGTGTCCGCAGTTGTCCACGTGTGTTGATATAAGTGAGAAGATATCATGGCGTTTGACTGTTAATTGATGTTCGTGCAGGCGAAGGTGAATGGGGCGTCCGCTTTGTCCAATGCAGTGTTTTTCGCAGTTGGCACAATTTATTTTGTAGCTGATGTTTGATTTGTCTTCCTTTGTTGTTTCATCCTTTGGTTTGCATAGGATTGATTGTAGTGATTTTTTCGGTTTGTGTGCCACACCTATCCCGAAGGTTTTCAGCAGTCTTGTTGCGGTTTCTGATATTCCTTGTATGTATGGTAGGGTGATCCTTTTATTGATTTCCCCGCTTGACTTGGGTTCAGATAACGCCAGCGGTTGGTATTTTTTCATGAATTTGATTGGGTAGCCGTTCTTTTGAAATACGTCCTTCGGGTAATTATCTTCATTTTTCCGTGCTGCCATTGTGCTGCAGTGCGTCCTCGCCCTCTTGAACAAAGTATGTTGTTATTGTAGTTGAGAATTTGATTTATATGGCTCGGTTTCCTATACACTTGAGTTTCCAGTTTGCCTGTGTCGGTTCTAGTGATTACTATATCCAACAATGATAGTTTGTTGTTTGACTCCTGTTCCATTGTGAACTTGCTGCCATAAAAGACGTTGTTGATCAGCTTGTAAGAGTTTTCCAGCTCATTCGTTCTGACGATGACGAATGTGTCGTCTACGTAGCGAATCCAAATTTTTGACATGATCACTGGTAATATCGCGGCTTATAGTCTTTGCATCACTGCTCCTACGATCAGTCTTGATATTGGTGATTCCATTGGTGTCCCTTTCGTTTGTTCGTAGATTTTGTTGTTGAATTGAAAATATGTTGTTAGGCATATATCGATGAGTTCTAGTAGACTTTGAATTTGAAGCTTCGCGTACTTAGTGAGATTTGTGTCGTTGGTGAGGAGCAGGGATATAGTTTCTTCTGCTAACCTTGGTTCAATTGACGTGAATAACACTGTTACATCGAAGGAAATCATCATCAGTTTGTTGTTATTGATTTGAATGTCCTTAATTCGGTCCAGGAATTGTGTGGGGGATTTGATGAAGTGGTTGGATGAATCTACTAAATGTTTCAGTATTCGTGAAATTTCTTTTCACAAATTGTATGTTGGTGTTCCGGGAAGTGCTACAATTGAACGTAGTGGAATGTTTGGTTTGTGCAGTCTCATGGTAACCAGCAAACAACAATAGGTTCATGCTCCATTTGTTCCCTCAGGATACCGGAGCCCATGTGCATCATCGGTTAGGAATCAGGGTTTTCCAACCCCCTAGGTAGACTTTCCGTATCCACCAACCCCATTAAAGCGCCCAACATTCGCTTTACATCTTCTCAATTTAGTAAAAAAAACACCCCCACCGCGACAAGGCTACTTTTAGTCTAACCATTCTCTAAAGGATAATACGTTCCAACCAATATAGCTCGGATGAACTGTCACAATAGGCAAGTCGACCACCACTTTAGAGTAGCAGACTCGGTTGAGGATTATGATTGTCACAGCGGTTCATATACGAAACATAGAAATAGTCTTCAAGATAGTCAGCGAAAATTGATTAAGGCAAAAGGAGATTGATTGAAGTATATAAATAGATGTTAAACTCACCTTAAAAATAAACCTAAGCTTCTAACGCATTAAAAGAGCCACACACAAATAAAAAAATAAAATATTCGAACGCGATAATAACCTGGAATAACTTCCATGATGAGTTTTAGTGCGAAACAAACAGGAAATTAAAATAACAATATAATGGAATAATTGATGTGGTTTTCTATGGCTATGACTTTGCTCCAAGATAATCTCACGGATGCAATTCAAGTGAAGAACGGAATACAAAAGACAGATTGGGTACAACTAGATGATTTGGACTTAACAGATTACCTAGCTCTTCTGTCCCATACACCAAAAAATGCTGATGAAGTCAACTAGTGTAGAAGCAGCCTCGGCATCATTAGACCTCAACGTACAGAAGAGAAAGGCAGGATCCATAAATACAACACATTTGATGGAGAAACTCTGGAAGAGGTGAAAATCATCAGGTACCTGGTCATCATCAACAATTAACAAATAGGATCAGATTTAGACGTAAAGGGTGAAAATTAGCAAAGAAAGGGAAGCATTCCTACCGTTGAAGAACATATGGAACACAAAACAACTGTCAGTCAATTGTCTACGTAACATACCCAATATCCGTTGGTCGGATACCATCAGCAACAATCTATTACGGGAGAGAACAAACCAGATTCCAACTGAAGAGGAAATTAAGAAAATATGCTGGAAGTGGATAGGACATACAGTGAAGAAATCATCAATCTTCATCACGAAGCAAGTGCTAACTTGGAATTCTGAAGGCCAAATCAAAAGCTTAAGAAAAAAATATATATCGAGTTGTAAAGTGGAGGCAGACATCGAAAGGATGAATGAAACTTGGAGACAACTAGGGAGGAGAACCCAGGACAGAGATGGTTGAAGAATACTGGTCGGTAGCTTCTACTGCACGAGTAGTAAGACGCGTAAGTAAGTAAATAAGTAAAACAATCTCAAGTGACCATTATTGTTAAATAGAAACGTCAACTTACGTGAACGTTTACGTTTATCTTCCTTCATAAAAACTTCAATCTTTTTGAAACCAAACGGAAATTCACTAGGAAAGAATAATGAATGAGAATGGTTAAAAAAAATCCTTTTTAAATGGTATTTGCCATTTGAATGTTCTCCTGTCATGCAACTATTTGGAGAAACTCACAAATAAAAAACTTTTGAATGATGAAAAGTCTGCTCTAATGGGAAAATTTTATTTTTCGCGTCCTCATGCTATAAGACGATATTAAGATATTACTACGACACCATAGGCTAGAATATTGACTGGATCACATTATATCCAAATACAAAATTTACGACCATTAATTGAGAATCAGATAATGGACCAGACAATAGTTTATTCAACGCCAATACAAGTAGTTCATATGCGATAAAACTCAGAATAAAAGTGAATAGTAGAAAGCAGTTCACGATATTGAATGGTATTTCATAGATTTGTCAAAACTAACTGTCTGTTCGTCATCGCTTACTGGTCAACCACATTTAACGTTCATTGGTTACAATGAATAAAAAAACACCTTCACGACATGATACAAAAATCAAATAATAATTATCATACTGTCATCGTCACATATTAATTACACTACCATTAACACCACAAACCACATTAGATAACCACCTTTTCTAAAACACACTAATAATTTTATCAACATTTATTAATGTAGAAAGGACAATTTGACTTACTCTAAAAAAATAGAAACGACAGAAGACCCGGAGTAGGCACGTCCAATTTCAAATCCATCTAAATTTACGGAGTAAATTGAATCATCTCGGCGAGATTTCGATGATGACGTTGGCATTAATTTGGCATTATTGAACTAACAAAACAAAGGTGGAATCGAATAAGCAGACAAACAGAAACTGAAAGTTTATAAATGAAATATAAAGTAAATATTTATTCATTGAGATTGTCAAAGGTCTTTATGGACCACTGACTAAACAGGATGATTTATGAACCAGAAGAATTTTATTATCCTTTCCATTTTAACGCTAAATTTACTTTATTGTATAAATAGATTCGAATAATTTACTCGGAATCATAAACACAGTGACTTTTTCCACATAGATTCGTCTTCATTCAAAAACTCTTAGCAACTGTACAGATGTACACGATATATGTGATATAAGGAACAAAGAGGTAAAAGACTCATAACCGTAAACAAAACAGTTATAAAAAAGGAATTCCATTCTCTGGAGCAATAGTTTACCTACGATTACAGTCATCCATTATCAAACAAAACGGAATCGAGGTCTAGACCTTTTTACTATTTGGTTTTGGCCATCGAACATAGTGATGTTATTTCCTAAACTATCTTGCCACATAGTTAAATTTCCAAAGTGAAGTATACAAATTTTTGACTAGATATTGTGTAGGTGCAAAGGTAATCACGGAGTCATTCAGTTCTTGTTCAGAACGCTAGGAATGGTGACATGTAAGGTTTTTATTGGAATTAAATTTTTAGCAAAATCTTTACCCTTTTCTGACTGGTCGGAATCACTTTTAATTCGCTAATCTCATCTACATGCTTGAAGGTTATGCTTTTGTTACTATATTTGCTAATTTGTACTATTTCTATTTGTTCCTGGTTAAATATCAGGTTTTTCCTATACTTCGTCTTTTTCCAGTGTTAGCGGCGAATTGCTAAATCATCGTCTACCGTTTGCCGTTATCGAGTCCGCCATAGAACCGTTCATATCAGAATAGCTCAATCATTTCTTAATTAGCAAATACCACAGGTCAACTACAAACCCCAATAAACATGATAGCACTTGACTTAAAATTAAGATACATCTTTAAATTTAAAAAAATCGCCAGCTAGTGTTTGGCAATCTGTTCTAGACATTACATACATAGAAAACGCTTCGAATAAGTTTCACTAGACTGATATTGTATTGCTTTCTGTGACTGACATGTTATGCAGAACTGAAACTTCATATTTAGGAAATAATTGCGCAAATAACGCAGTCTAATGGTTATTGATTGTCCTAAGCACGTGATGAGTACTTACTTGGTAATCGCATTCCGGTCTTCCAATAGCTGTTTAGCTAAGATCAGTGCGTGATTTACATTATGAAGATTGCATCATTGTATGCAACAAGTATGAAAAGAAATGTTTTATGCATGGAAAGTGATTTGACAGGGAACATTTAGCTCTTATAGACAGGTTATAAATCTTAGTGGTTGAAAAGTGTCTGTTATGTAGTACTGTGGTGTATGTAGTATGTAACACCAATCAGAAGTAGAATGCCTAGCAGCAGAAGGTTGAGAAGATTGAAATGAAGAGGAGAGAGGAAACTGAAAGTAATGAAGATAACAACAAGAATGAAGGAACTACGGAAATTGTAAGAGATAATTCGAAGATGTGCAAACGGTGTATTTGATTTATGATTTTCACATTTTACTAAACCATTGTGTGATTCTGTATTATCCACTTGAGTGTTCGTTTATTATCATACTAATTTAGAACAAATGAATTAAGGTACCAACACACTTAAAAGTTATTTGCAATACACAATGGATCACGGAGGAAATAGTTGTCTTTTTTTCTCCGTAAAGAGGGGTCTGTTTGTCATCGATTTATGACAAAGCATAATGCACAAAACCACTTAACCAATAAATGCATGAAATATCATATATGATTATGTTTATTTTTGTGTAAAATAACATGTGGAGAATGAAAGCAAGATATGATTGACCAGTGAGTGATGACGAACAGACAAACTATTGTTTGGTCCTGTTATATCCCGATGTGAATAATTAATTAATTATTTATTTCTTACATTTTTAATTATTAATGATAGTTAGAGGAAAAGGTTAAATTAACATATTAAAAGTTGGGCTGGTGTTGTGAGTTATGGTGATAATACTATAGGGTTTGCACTCCCAAAGGACATAAGCTATAACGGAAAACAGTTAGGGTTATGTATTAGGAGTTAAACTAGAGCTACGTATTAGGATTAAAAATTAGAATTAGGATTTTCATTATAAAGTGACACAAGTTATGATGCAATAATGTTTTGCCGCCCTTCTGTTTACAGACTTAAGAAACATAGAACTTAGATATAGAGTCAGAAGTTAGAGTGTGAGAAAGCTGTTATGCAAACAGCTTTGACTATGAACTGAATGAAACCAAGAACTCCGATACATCATGAGCAGATATTTCTTGTGATCCCTATTCGGTTGCTTAGTAGCTAGTTTTATCAGTTTCAAGTGTGTTTTTTAAGAACCAAGTATTGTCAATTTTCACTTAGTTAATGAGAACCTAGCAGCTGTCCTGTAATACACTTTTAATTTCACGCAAAGATCTACGAGGCACCATCTTGATTCTGATCGGTTCATTTAAGGCCGTAAGTATGGTATACTTCTACCGAAATAAACTGACTGTGATCAAGTAGATTTCGATATTAATCTCTTTGATGGATTTCATGTCAGCGACCAACATAAATTTATATCAATATATCCTGAATATCTCTAGTTAAATAACTATTCAACAATGAACACAACCAATTTACTGAGCATAGATACCTGAACATGCTTTTCAACCATACTGTTTAGGTGTTTGGATGAATCATGAAACTATTTGGTTATCCGGAACTGAAGTAGGTTAAGAGGAGCTTGAGGAGAAAAGTAAGTGACTGAAAACCAACAGCTTCAATCACCAAGTCATCTTTCCTCAGGACTGATCAATGCATTATTCATAGCCATAACCATACATCATACTACTTTGCTTTCAAAATGTCAGAAAATTACTTAATTTTAACGGAAAGAAAAAAACTGCACAGTTATTTATCATACATATTTATCATATGAATAAAAATACTAAGCACAATGAATAGATATTGATAATTCATAAGAGAGGAGGAAACAAATTACCTTGATCTCAAGGTTGCGATAACATCTTAAGTTCGTTTGCCTAAGTGATACATTGTCTTCAGTTGCTGAATCGGCTTTTGTATTACGACAATGTCGTTTCAAACTCGTCACCCATCTTTGGTATACAATCTCCCAAGTGGCCGGTGGCAAATCACAATTAACAAGACAATTATTATTATTGTCTGATAAATTGGTCACGTTCGGATTAGTGGATGATGACAACAAAGATTTATTATCTACAGAGGTTACATTTGAACGAACAGCCCAGTCACATGCAAAACGACAGCCTAAATAAATATTTTTAAAATACAAAAATCAGGTATAATTTGTTTAATCCTATCACGTATACATTCATCTATAACTTTATACATATTACAAAAATGAAAGAATTTGGATTCATTACAGATCATAGATTAACAAGTTTGGACGATACTAAAATCTGAAACCCTAAATATTTACTCTGAATAAAACATTTCAAATAACAGCCAATAATCACAGTTACAACATAGACAAGTTATTTTAAACTCAAGGGAAATGAAAGTGAGTAAACTAAGCTCAAAGCACTGAGAAATTTCCTCTAAAGAGATAAGATCTATTGAAACCCATTAGGTTTGATTTTATTTATTAAATATAATGAATTTCAGAGAATTGTAAGTTCGAATCCAGATGGTATATTCAGCCACTATAAAAAGTTCATTTATATCACACTTAAGGATTACTGAGGAAATTCAGTAAGGTGATGTCTCTCATGGTGGAACATGCTCGAGGTTATTTGTTATACAAAAGATTCATAATTCACGTATGAACAACTGAATAACAATATAAATATGAATATAATTGAAAGTTATTTATTTTTTCAATAAGACAGTGAATTGTTTTAAACTAAATGATCCAACTACTTTAGAATAAAACTTGGTTAGAATTAATGACAAACAGTCGGTATACTGTCACAATAGGATAATCAGTAAAGAACACTTTTTACCAATAAAAGTGACAAATACCTGGCCAAGTATTGATTATGTTAAAGATAATAAACTACAAAGATGATAAAATTGTCATGAAAATACATCATTACCCTGCTTGACTTGAATGGATATGATGCAATTACGCTACTGAAGTGATATACTTTAACTTCTCTGGATGATCTGTTTGTAAGTGACGATCATTTAGATCATTACCAATATAGTTTTAAGAGTTGAGATTTCTTTGAGAAAAACCAATAATTTACAAACATCACTGATCACAGAGTACTACTAAAAAAAAAGGAAGTAATATAAAGCTATTTTGTCTTAGTATAGGACTCCTTAGCAGTGCATACCGACGACCTCATATAGGATGGAACCCAAGATGTCTTGGATTTACAGCCAGTGGCTAGTCATTTAGATGATTGTCTTTGGAATCCTTTGTACAAATTTTGAACTTCTAAAGAAATTCATTCCTGTAGCGGTAGTTAGAAGACTTGGGTGATTGAGATCACACTTGTCAGTGATGAGACAGTTGTCACCAATGATTTCAGATGTGGGTCACTGGAGGTCGTTTCAGTTATGGGTGTGTACAGGGTCCCGTATAAGAATGAGAGAGATGTTCAGTACTACTCAATTTTCAACGGTATTATATATATAAAGCTTACATGAGTGTGATAAGTTTTGAAGTGTGTATGGTGGTTCTTCAGGACGACCGGAATACGAATTAATATCTAAATCATAATTACTGAATAAATTAATTCGACTAGATATTGTTGAACTAATAGCACTTGAATTAAATTTATTTGATGAACATGGAGCTTCTACACGTAAAACAAATTCTTCTCGATCTCCCGCTGAAGCACCATATAAAACTAAACCAAAGCAAAAATTCTTTCTGAAAAATAAAATATAAAAGAAAACAATAATTAACTTACATATACTTCATGGATTGATTTGAGCTACATAACTATTGAGAGAAAAAATACAATAGAACCTGTGTAGACCAATAAGCGTTAAAATGCTCGATATTTATAGTCAGTTATTTGGGGCATTAGTCAAAAGGTCATAAACATGATTTAGTGTAAGATAGAACTCATTATCAGTAGACTTTATAATCGATTAATCCTAGAAAGTGAGCATAGAAGAAGCTTAGATTTCTATAATACACTACAAATATAATTTATTATATAAACTATTATATCTGTATTATTAGCAATGGTAATTAATTAAATGTAGATAAGCTTTTCTTTATAAATTATCATAATATAGAAACTTTTGACTCGTTTATATAAACGAACAATAAAACGTGATAAAAAGGAAATAAGAACGATTAGTTATCGAATTTACATCCTTACACAATACTGAACATTAAACTGTTTTCATAAATAATTACATGATAAAACTTTTAGCAAAAGAAACATTTTAAACTGTACGAAAAGGTATTAGATACCACAGAAAAATGACATTGATCTATTATTCACTCTTCAGATAGTAAGTGGACGAAGTATACACTCTAGTACCTTTGGATTATGAAGCAAACTTTAAGGAAACATATATATGCATATAGAAAAAAACGGTTTACAGAATCTGTTAGCTGTTTCGATTTGTGTGAAACAGTTATCCAGTTATCCCTGGTTTTCATTGACTGTTTGACTACGATTACTTTGTAATGCTAAGTATGAAATTTGAAAAAATTCTCCGTAAACCACTTTGTAGTAACGATAATAAGTTAATATTGATAAAAATCGCTCTTCATCGTTTGATTGTTAATTAGCTTTCGAATAAACGTGTTTATCATGAAACATAATTGACAGAATAACGACCGTTCTCAACTATAACTGTTTACTTTAAAATCATGATTGCACCCTGCAATCATTGCTTGTGTTTATTTATTTATTTGAACACAAATATTGTTATGAAGGGGCACAAAATAGATATATGCCACACAAGTCACTTGATTTGTGTGTGGGCTGTGATACTGCTCAGGTGTTTGTGTGCTAAATGCTTATATAACCTAACCTTATATTATGGGATTGTTAAATTTACTTGTACTTTTTTTCACTTTGTTGCCGAATAACAGCTAGTACAAAACCTAGTAACATGATCGCCTTCTTAATACCTGAGGTCACTTAAAACATTATTGTTAAGTGAACATGGTATCTAAACAGTCAAAACAATCAGTTCTCAACTATTGAATTGTAAGTTCGAATACCACATTCTTTCTGTTCGTTCGAGTTCCAGCGTTGAGAAGGGATTGTATAAGCTGTTGAACAAAATGTGACTTGGAAGTTTAATTTTCCTATTTTTAGTAATAAAAAGGGTGTCATATAAAAATTATTGTCAGAAAAAAATCCATGATGCAATATCTACGAATGCATCAACGACCACAGTGAATTTAAGAAAAAACGTGTTTTACGCTAATTCATTCATTTACAAAATACATATGCAAAGCGTTTTAAATACTATAAACCTTAAGTGGCGTAACTAACTTCAAGCTTACTAATCACAAGTTAACCTATTTGACGGAAATAAAGGTATTTACTATTAAGTGATATATAGTAGTTTACTCATTATAACATTTTACTGAATCAGTACATTAATTTTAGTAATAAAATATTATAGTTGATACATATTTTACGTATCTAACTAACTGTAGTGTCAATTATTATGTTAAGCCCATATACTTTGTTCTAACTTCCGAACAGCCCAATCTATTCATTCTACTTGAGTCATATTTTGACCTTGTTAGTTATTCGCTTATCAGTCTTCACTGTTTTTATATGAGCGTATATGTGTGTACACTTCATACCCCTTGTCTCATCACATGTCTGTAGTTTATTTTGTCTGCCTATAAATATTGAGTAACGCCTGGCTAAAAATGAGTTGATTTACCAGCCATGTCCACTGCTCGTCATTTTGCTTTGTTCTATTACATTTACTTTACATACAAAATATATGTATTCAAAGGCCATTCTCTTTAATTGACTTCTCTAAATCCCGTTATTGACTAACGTGATTTAAATCGATGATTGTATACGAGGATAGGCGATAACAAACATTCGTACGATCTAAATGGAGTTAGATCCATGGGCCACAAAATGACTAGTTGAAATAACGAAAACAATTAGACAATCATGCAACATAAAACTAGTGACAAGAAATGGAGCTTAAAAAACTTATATAACTAACTTTTAACTGTTTCATCAATGAAGTTATCAATGAAAATTGATCTAGTAGTACAGTTTGTGAAGACAGTTGAATTATGGTGTATATATCACGAACTGATTAAAGCTAGAAATCCAAAACAATATGTGCGAACTCAATGGTCTTGAGGTCAGCGTTCATCTCTAAAACTTGAAGTTGATTCCCTGTGAAAAGATTATGGATACGTACTCCTAAGTACCATATCAGGACGAAAACGACACCTAGTGTTTACAGGTTTTCAGTGTTAAGGTAACCAAGATCAGTTTGTGATATAAAGTCAATGATGAAAATAGAAATGATAAAATTTAATACTTACTCATATACTGTATAATGGATAGGAAAGAAATCACATTTAGAAAGATCAAATCGTTCAGGTTTACGTTTTTCTCCATCAACCAATGTTAGTATACTTTGTTTTCTATCTAAATGTGCATAACATAATTTCCATTTCTTTCTTTGTTGTAACCCTAGTAATCAATTGAAAAGGTGATTTAGTTTAGATTAAAATAATAATAAATATAAGAACATCTTAGATACATTTAAATATCTTAATATTTTTTAATGAATAAGAGATATGATAGACAAAATAACTGTTAAACAATATATGTTAGAAACAATGAGTACTTAATAAAAGCTTTTTAATGTACTCTAAGAATAATAATAATTACACTAGAATTATTGCGTCATCATGTTGAAATCTATAAGGCTGATATAGTAATGAGTAAAGCATTTGTAATATAAATCTACGTAACAGTTAAACATTTTTAAGTAATACAAAATGTTAAAATATGAAAAGTTTTGATAGTAGTGTAGAAAACAAACAAACTAGAAACTTCATGTGATCATAAAGGTAACTATTTACAACTAATGTCGGACAGTTGTTATTAGTGAAAGCTAAAATATAAGTATCGGAGCATTTCGGCAATTTTTACAAAGTTTTTTTTTTTAAATTTAAAGAATGAAGACTCTTACATCAATAAATTTTTGGGCAGCACTGAACAATAAATTTCTCGGCTAACTAATTCATCTACATTAAAATGTTCACATTTGTGTGAAATTAAATGAAAACATTAGTATTATTCATCAACTAAATTAATTTCACCTACAACATATCTGGAGCTACTGCCAGTCCTAATAGCAGGAAAAGGAGGACTAAGTAGTGGAGTTAGCGACTGTACGTCGTCAAAACGAAATCAGTTATAAAGTTGCTAACTAGGGAAAACCAACTGAACTCTGGTCTGGGAGTTGAAAAAAAACTCCAAACGCAAGAGTTATGACGCCTCATGGTGAGGGCCGAGATTCTCCGAAAGTAACGAGGGCAACACTTATTTTAGCAGCCAACGCAACAATAAATATAGGTACATGGAATGTCCTAACAATGTGAGAGGCTGGAAAAACAGGTCAAATATCTGTAAAAAAGGGAAGATATAACCTGGTAGTTCCTGGAATAAGTGAAATTTATAGGACGTAAAATGGACAGAAAAGATTAGCTTCGGAAGAGTTGTTGTTGGATTCAGATCATGAAGAAGAAAATCACTCATACATATGAGAAGTTTCACTGACGCTCTTCCAGCGACGTATAAAAGGCATTTGTGGGATGGGGAATTCATGGATCCAGGATCATCAAACCATTCTTCAAAATAAGGAAGGGAAGGATTATAGTCAGTCAGTCAGTAACAACGTAGAACTTCGTACGTACGTACATCAGTTCAAGTTGCCATACCACATTAACACAGAGATGCAGTGGTCGATTCAAATCCCGTAGTGCTAGATGTAGTAAAATTATAAGCTGTAACCAGAAAAATTAGGGTTTAAAGATATTACTCACGAAGTATAATACAGTGAAATAAATTTGGAAAGAGAAAAAAGGGACATGAAGAATTCAGAAGATTAGTATTTGAGAGGACAAAAGACTGGATGCACCTGAGCTATTGCAAACGATTTTGAGCCATGTCATTCAGGGTCTCTAACCATCGGTCGCTATCATATCGCGATCCCCAACCAGGTAGTCTACAGCTACCAACATGACTCAGTTCACTTGTCAGTGATGTCATGGATTTAAACCATGTTTTGGTCTGGCCACCCCTAGCTTTCTTCCAACCTACTACACCATAAAACATCGCTCGTTAGGGCAGTCGGTCGTTGGGCATACGTAACACGTGTCCCAGCCATCTCAACTGATTAAGTTTCACCACTTCATCAATCGATTTGCCATCCTTACCTAGTGCCCATTTCCTAACAACTGCGTTACTAACTCGATGGTCCTAGGATATACGAGTTATGTTTCAAAGACACCTATGATCAAATACTAGTAACCTACGAATATCCTCTACTCTTACCGGCCATGTTTCACTGACACAAAGTAAGACGGAACCAACTGCTATGCAGTAAACACGTCCTTTGTTTGATAGACGGATATCTCGCCTACGCCATAAATGACGCAAGTTGGTAAAAGCGAGTCGAACTTTCTGTATCCGTGCTGAGATTTCGTCACATACCAGACCACAAGGGCTGATGAGACCATATGAAAGAAAATAAGATAAATATATATGAAAAAAAATAAAGAGTTCGGAAGGTTCATGAACAACGTCAGAATCTGGTGTCCGATTCGTCTTCGCTAACTGGTCAATTATACTTTCATTAGGTATAAATTAAATACATTGACTGTAAACGAACTACATGTTGTTCCAAACTGAACAGATACAACGAGGTGTTAATAATTCTTTTTTAAGCTGTTTCATCTAAATACTTGTAGGTTGTTCGAATAATTCAATAAAACTTAAATGATATCTACAGAAAATATCAACTTACAAATAGACAATTCCCCATGAATTTCAGTTACCGATTGATGAGATGTTGGTGGTTGACGTGCATAACACATATCCATATAAATAGTAGACGAGGGAGGATGTACTTGAGGCTTTCAATTGATACAAAAAAGAAATGTAACAATTAGATCCAAATATACACATCCAAAATAAGAGTAACACAGTTACAATTCCATACTACTACTCAATGTTGATTGATCAACAAGACAGAGTTGTCAGGTTTTAGTGGAAACACTGACCTGTTCAGGTGTTTCACAAATTGGCATGTTCCATTATCATGACATTTTTAGCAATGAAGTGTAAAGAGTGAATATTTTTTCAGTATGAAATTGATTACAGCCAAAATTATTGAAGTTGCAACAATTTATTGATTGAGACGCGAATAGACCAGCCGATACCTTAAAAATATAATCTATCAAGCTACGAAGTTAGAAAATTATCTTTTTAACAATAGGCAACAGTTGTTACTACTAAGGCTAATGGAAGAGAATTTAAAACCTGTTCATTCCTAAACGTAGGTGTTTACATGAAAATCAAATTCTACATATTAGAAGACTATACAGCTTGTTTTCATTATATTCTTATTATGTACAAAACTAGATTGGTAGCTTTTACACAATCTCCGTGAAATTTTACAGCTTACATCACAGAATGACCTTCGTTAGACAACCTTTGTAAACTAGAAGATACTTCACAGTTGATTCGTCCTAATATGGGGCTCCTTGGTAGTGCGCTCCACGGTAATATGATATCATAATTATAAAACCAGATATTTAAGATCAATAATAAATGGCTAGTAGGCATGCAAAAAATATGGTACAATTATTGTACTTCATGAAGACTGATCATTCTGTCAGATGACGACGATCATTGACATGATATACTTCCCTTTGTTGAGCTTAACATTATTTTCTTATGCACACGTACATTATTTATCTATAAACATTTTGTTGTTTTACAGATGGATTTGACTTGTCAAGAATAAAACGTACTTACGAATCATTTAGCTGGTTCACACTATTTGAATGTGATTTACTCAACGATGTCCGAATACCTGATATCTAAATGTAGTGCACGAGATTTCGAGCCATTTAGACTAGTGGCCGGATTGCCGTTTGATCAATATAATTTACTCAGAGCTACGGCCTAGACAAACGTAAGACTATTCACTCCCCATTCTTGTTCAACTTTGTGGTCGATGTACTTTTAGAGATAACACTCTCCTCATCTAAATTTCCAGGGGTTGAACTTCTACCGGGAGGTTCACTTGTTGACTTAGAATATGCAGATGACATAGTTTTATTTGGTGAAGACGCTGACAAAATGCAGAGTCTTCTGACCACTCTAAGCAACAATGCAAGCATGTTCGGGATGCGATTCTCTCCCTCGAAATGCAAAATGTTGCTTCAGGATTGGGTTACATCGACACCCGAACTAGTGATAGGGAGTGAAGTAGTTGAGTGTGTCGACCGCTTCACTTATCTTGGAAGTCTCGTCAGCCCTTGTGGTCTGGTGTGTGACGAAATCTCAGCACGGATACAGAAGGCTCGACTAGCTTTTGCCAACTTGCGTCATTTATGGCGTAGGCGAGATATCCGTCTACCAACCAAAGGACGTGTTTACTGCGCAGCAGTTCGTTCCGTCCTACTTTATGGCTGTGAAACATGGCCGGTAAGAGTAGAGGATATTCGTAGGCTACTAGTATTTGATCATAGGTGTCTTCGAAGTATTGCTCGTATATCCTGGGACCACCGAGTAAGTAACGCAGCTGTTAGGAAACGGGTACTAGGTAAGGATGGCAAATCAATTGATGAAGTAGTGAAACTTCATCAGTTGAGATGGCTGGGACACGTGTTACGTATGCCCAACCACCGACTACCTCGACGTGCTATATTCAGTGGTATAGGAGTAGGTTGGAAGAAAGCTAGGGGCGGCCAGACCAAAACATGGCACAAATCCATGAAGTCACTGACAAGTGGACTGAGTCATGTTGGTACGTGTAGACTACCTGGTTGGGGACCGCGAGATGATAGCAACCGATGGTTAGAGACCCTGAATGACATGGCTCAAAATCGTTTGCAATGGCGCAGGTGCATCCACTCTCTATGTTCTCCCAAATTCTAATTATCTGAATTCTTCATGCCCCTTTTTTTCCTCTTTCCAAATTTATTTCACTGGATTATACTCGTTAAATAACATCTCCAAACCCTAATCTTCCCGATTACTGCTTATACTCTTGCTACCTCTACCACTACGGGATTTGAATCGACCACTGCATCTCTGTGTTAATGTGGTATGGCAACTCGAACTGATGTACGTACGTACTAAGTTCTACGTTGTTACTGACTGACTGATTCACTCAGTGATTAGTCAATCGCATATATCTCAGTTTTACAGGAAGTCAATCATAGCCCTCAATGACAATGTCTCAAACTGTGAAATTCCAGGTACGCTTTGTTGACGAGTGGCGAATAGCACAAAACACAGGTCTGTGGTTTCCTGCCAACTTTTTTCAACCGCTTACCATGTATAAGGTATAGAAATACCTTGAAAAATGAACACTAAATTAAGACAATACAAACAAACAATATTCTTCTCAATAAATTCTTTTCACGTTCTACAAACATACATTTGGATTCTTTATCAATCATTAGTCTGGACTTATAACAAGAATCTGATGGCAATTTATTACGAAGAATATTTCGACAGTATTCTATGACAATGGACATATTGTCGCAGAATGAGATCCAGACTCATAATATTTTTTGAATACAGTTAGTCAGCTACAATGTAAGATCAGGCACATATATGCATTGGTCAAAGTTGCCTCATAAGCAGGACACGACGGTCAACAAATTCATAGAAGCAGTTACTTTAATGGTAGTAATTTGTAAAAAAAAGATTGCATATGAGGAAATGATACAGCGAGAAAAAATTAATTCGTGGAACGAAATGTATAAAGTAATTTTAATCTCACAGTTAAAGGGAAGATAAAGAGTGTATACATCTACGCTTTTGTGACCGATTCTGAGCTATGTCACAGCCCTCACACATATCGAATGAGATTTGTGTGGAGCATATGTATTTGGTGCTTTCTTGTACCAATATCTATATATTAAAATAATAATACTAACTTTAAAAGACACCAAAGTATTTCATACATCACATTTCTAAAGAAAAATAAATGACTAAAAACCCTTCCAATATAAACATATTATAGCAACACACCTGTACAATTAATTTTGTCAAGCCCTTTAATTAACTCGTTTAACAGACAGTGTTATTAGGGTAGTAACAATTTCTTTATTTTTTTGTATTATTATGATCACTATCATAGCTGTATAAACGTGTACGCTTGATCACATGTGGCAGCCTACGCACATAATCCTTACTCTAGCTTAAACGTTAATCCTTTAAATGTCGCTCGATGGATCATCCACTTTCCCATATTCGCTTGCTCGCACGCATGAGCCTTTATGCTCGAATCCAATCGATGTGCTTGTAACTTTGTTATCTGTGCTATCAAATAATAAACTAGAGTTGACGCTTCATAATATTGCCTTTTAAATTCGTACACCACTGGGATTTATTTAATAACAGTTACCAGAGTGATCAATAAACGAAGCCTAACGAATTATCTCGAAGTCAAGTCACTACAACTTAAACACCATAAGAACAATCGAATATTGAGCAAGTATACAGCATAATTTTATTTAATAATAATAAAAACCTACTTTACGCTTCCTGTAGAGAGGTTTAAATACATGTTGAACTGTTGTATTAATATTTGAAGTATCTACTGATGAAATATCATTTGTTGCATTTACATTAACCTCATCATTAATTGGACAATTATATCCATCATCGGAAATATTTAAAGTGTTCAATTCTTCAGTATGATAAAGATCCCAATGATGTGATTCAATAGCTGTGATTACAGCTTCAACATTAGGAAAAGTTGTACCACTATACAGTATTTTAGTAGTTGTACGATAAAGAGGAGATTGAAAATTTCTATTAAAATTTATAATTTCATTTGTACTATGATTATCTTCTAAATTTTTATTGGTTAAAAATATGTTATTAGATTTTCTATGAAATTCATCTGATTTATCATCTTCATTATTACTACTACATGATAATGATTCATTATTGAATTCATTTGTATGTTCATCTAACAGTTCACTATTCCTATGATCAAAATTACTATCATGATTGGTTTTTTTGGTCGGTGTAACATCATCTTGTGGTATAAGCTCTGATTGAACAATTAATTCAAGTCGACATTTACGAACACGTACTCCATCGTATAAGAGTAATGTATATAGGCCAGGACGTGAATCACAAGGGCGTAATAAATAGCTAAATGGACCAGCTGTCAAAAGAAAATGTAGTACATAAATTTATAATGTTTAGTCCTGATAAAATCTTACTACATAATCAAGAAACATAGATATCACCTTCATAAAAGACCCAAAATAACACTATAGTGATATTCACCTGGCTGCCCAAACAGAATTAAATGGAATCAAAGTTAAAAGCATTCAGGATTTTTTCCACTAGTGAATATACCTATATAATGATAAATTAAGACTAGCAATTCTTATTTTGCATTCCCTGTGCAAATAATTCTTGTTTGAACAGGTCTAATAACTAAGCGTCGTTCTTAATTCTATCAACCAAATGTACTCATTCTTGAATGGGTAATTACTTTTTATGTTTGTGTACGCCAGAATGTATGTATGAAGCACTGATATTGATTTAGAGGACATGTCAGCTTACTATTTCACCGATTTACGCTCAATGTCGATCTCCATAAATCAATGTATGAGATACACTTACCTGGATGACTTTCTCCTACTCGACGTTTACAATTATGTTATTAACCAGAACAGTAGAAAGAATAATAAACGAAGTTATCATATGGATTTCATATTTTGCATAGTCATTGATGGTTATGGGACAACTAATTTAAATAAATGTAGGTTACAGGATGTGAGAACAACGATTCGAAGACATTGAATTCTGCCCTCTATGTTCAAAATTTATGTTTCATAGTTATAAAGTAATACGGAGCAACTTCGTTAGTAACCCTTCTGCGGTTACTGCCAGTGTCCCAACCCCGGGTAAAAGGGGAGAGTTGGACATGGGGTCAGAGAACCCACCTTGTAAGAAACAACCCTGCTAAAAAACCATTTAAACTCTTTCCTCTGAGATGAAGCATTTCCGTTCAGAATAGTTATGAAGCCTCATAGTGAGAGCCGAGATTCTTCGGAAGTCACGAGACCGATGCTCCCTCTAACAACAACAACAACAACAATTATTATTATTATTATTATTATTATTATTATTATTATTATTATTATTATTATTATTATAAGTATGTGGAATGCTCGAACAATGTGGGAAACCGAGAGGACCAATCTAATAGCTACGGAAATGAGGGGATACAAAATGGTCGTGCTTCAAATAAGTGAAACCCATTGGAACCAAACTGAACAAAAAAGGATAGATTCGGGAATGATGATGCTGCACTCCGAGCACGAGGAAGGAAATGTTCCACACACTCAGGGAATCGCTCTGATGCTGTACAAATAAGTAGGTAGAACACCTATATAATGAGAGTCTCATGGACCCAGAATCATCAAAACACCCTTCAAAACAAACACGGAGAGAATCACGAGTGTTATCCAGTACTGTGCATCCAACAATGATAGCAACGACAACAATAAAGATAAGTTTTATGAGAGGCTGCAATCAGTCGTAGTGAAGTGTTCAGAAAACGAACTGACAATTCTAATGGGAGACTCAAACACCAAAGTCGGAATGGACAACATTGGATATGAAGATATCATGGGACGACATGGACAAGGAGAAAGGAACGAGAATGGTGACAGATTTTCAAATTTATGTGCATTTAATAAATTGGTTATAGTAGACACAATATTCCCACACAGACGAATACACAAAGCTACATAGGTTGCATCAGATCACACTACAGGGAATCATATCGATCATATTTGCATCACTAAAAAATTCAGGTCAATGAAAAGCGTGAGAACTAAGAGAGGAGTAGACACAGCTTCAGATCACCACCTGTTGTTTTCCAAGACGAAAATGAAACCAAGGAAGCGCTGAACAACCGGAGAAACAGTATTACAAAAGTCCAATACAGTCTTCCTACGAGATACTAACAAACTCAACGAATTCAAGATAGCTCTCAACAACAGGTTGCAACTTACAAGATCTACTCAAGGAAGAAGAAACTACCATGAAAAACAAATGGAAAGGAGTAAAAGAAACATTAAGTTCAACGTTTCAGAAGGTTCAGAGTCTCAAAAAGCATCATCATAAGGAATGGATCTCTATCAACACCCATGGCAAGATTCAAGAAAGGAAGAACAATACAACAATTAATAACAGTCGAACAACGACAGAGAAAGTCAAGGCACAAGCTGAATACATTGAAGCAAACAAGCAACTGAAGAGGAGTATTAAAGCCGACAAGCAGAAATACGTGGAAGAGTTAGCAACGACAGCGGAAAAAGCTACAACAGAAGGAAATATGAGACAACTATATAACACAATGAAGAAACTATCAGGAAAATATAGTAAACCAGAGAGACCGGATAAGGACAAACAATCACCGAGATTCAAGAACACAGGGACAGATGGGTAGAATACTTCGAAGAATTCTGGAATAGACCAGCCACATTAAATCCACCGGATATCGAGGCAGCACATACAGGTTTTCCTATATGTGTCACTCCACCAAAGATTGAAGAAATGAGGATGGCCATCAGACAAATCAAGAGCGGGAAAGCAGCAGGACCTGATAATATACCACATAAAGTTCTTAAGTCAAACATAGAAGCAACTGTAAACATGCTTCATGTTCCATTCGGGAAGATTTGGGAGGAAGAACAAGTGCCGATGGACTGGAAGGAAGGACATTCCATCAAGATACTAAAGAAAGCAGATCTAAGCAATTGTGGTGACAAAGGAGGCATCACGCACACACGGTGGATGCAGCTAGACGATTTGGACTTCGCAAATGACCGAGATCTTCTATCCAATACACAGAAACAAATACAGATGAAGACAGTCAATGTGGCAACAACTGAGATGTGATACACGATTACAAGGCTTACCATCATATACAGTGCTGCCAATTGTGAAGTCAGAAATTCGGGAACACTGGACAAATGATTATCTTTAGTTCGAGGTTTTTCTTGGTAATGTACACTAATAATTCGTCCCGGGATTATTAGAAAATTAACTTATTCACCAGGTACTTAGGCATGAGTCAAACTTTAAGCGTAAGCACCAATGATACTGTGGCGTATGTCTGTCGACGTAAGAAGTATGTAACACCAATCGGAATTGGGAAACCTGGCAGCAGAAGGCGATAAAGGTTGACTTGAAGAGAACAGGAACGGAATTAGAAAGGAATTTCGAATAAGAAGAATCATACAGAAAGTGAAAGACAAATGATGTGAATTTGCAAATGAAGTATTTAATATATGGTTCTTATATTTTACCAAGATACTGTGTAATTTTGTATTAAAATACACTAATTGTCTCCACCTTTGTTGTCGTTCATTACAATACTACCCAGTTGCTTAAATCAAAGTAGATGGAGAGGAGTTCAAGCCTGGAACTTAGTGGTTGAAAGTCGAACACCCTAACCACTAATCCACAGGCAGGATTATAATGATGAAAAATCAGTTAAATTGTTAAAGAAAAAATGAAAAGAACTAAGTCTATGATGAGCTTTCATATCAACTGATAATCTTGGCTCCTTTTTTAGACAACTGGATAGAAAATTAAGAAATCAGTTGGATTTTTTTCATCGACTCTAGCATGCATATTAAATAGTCAGAAGCTATGAAGTTCATTGAAGCGTCAGCAACTGACTGGATAAACAAAATGTACTGTTATTAATCCTTTGATTAATTAAAGCTCTTATAAAATGAAATAGTTTTTCTGATGTATTTTTGCTTGGTTTAATAGTAATCCTCACAGTGAAATAATGTTAAATGAAGAGCTCTTGAAAAAGAAAAACCCTGGACAATATTTTTGTTTTAATTTTGACACTTATTTAGCAATGAACACGAACAACTTTACACTGGACTAAATCTAGGCAAATTTAAATTTAACGATATGTATCATATTTCTAAGCACTCAAGTGAAAATTCAATGATGCATTTAGAGTAATCTATATTTACCATAAATTTTACATTGTACACAATGAGAAACAAGTGATTAGACTGAAATTTATTTATTAAAAGTAGTGCTTAGTTCGGTGTTATAAATAGACAACAATTTTTATGCATACATATATATGTGTATATACGCAAATACATAATATAGATTTTCAATACTACTGATGTTAAACACTCACTACAAATATTAAAAATACTCAGATCAACAAATTAAAAGGATAACAAAAGTAAAAGAAGGAATATATAAGAAAAATAAAACAATTTTCATAAATAATCTAACCTTTCTTTAGTAACTCTTTAGGATGAGGTGTCGGATCAGGGTGGAAGAAGTCTAGACGTTCAATAATCTCTGGATATTCTTTCTAAAAATTTAAAAGTCTAGTATTAAATAGACACCTTGAATATAGTATTTAAAAATATTAGAAATAGTTCAATAAAATGCATGATACGTTTTAATTTGATTTAAACATGCAGAAAACATTTACTGGTGGTTCATCTGAATATACAATCATAATAATATCAAATTTATTTGCTTAATTAGGCTTTTAAATGAAGATATTTTTGTGATTTCACTTTTACTTTATGAAGGAGACAGGTTTCAAAGAACCTAACTCAAAAATATATAAATATTAATGGTCAAGGTTTCCAGCTCAGGTGAATACTTTTGATGGTGTCATATTCTCTTAGTTGGATCACTTGATTGCTGGGCTTTAATTGTTGTTCTGGACATCACTAACGCCTAATTCATATATAACTTAGTGCTAGAGCGAATCGTAGCATCAGCTAGGTGTCTTTGGAATGTAATCTTGAAAGATCGAACACAAAAACAGTGAATTTAACCAGTTTCGAACTATTTGTTAGACTCAGTGGTTACACCCATTCAAGTCAGATAAACTTTTTGATGTCTTACACACAAATGTTTAATTCGAAAGCTTGACTTAGGGAAAATCTTAAATTTTAGACAAATAACACACCAACCATTTATAGTTATTAAATGTTCGCTAAATATACCGAGTCTACCTTTATTTTGCTCAATAATGAAACCACAATGATGTACCATACAGCCATATTTTATTACATTTTCAGTTATACTAATAAAATCGTTACAATGAGAAACGTAAACTGATGGCTGACGTAAGTGTAGGTTGGAAGAAACGCAAGGGTTGACAAACCAAGAAATATCATTAGTCTATGAAGACATTGACTGTTGAACTGAACCCGGCAGGTAAGTACTGACTACCTGGTTGGGGTCAGCCTGATTATCGTAACTGATGATTAGCGATTGTGAATGAAATGGCTCAAAATCGTTCGCTATACCGTATGGGTGCACTTAATCTTTGTCTTTAGATCCGAAGTTTCTTAATTCCTCGTAAATTTTTTTCTATTATTTCACTGATTTACATTTTTTAGAATTGCATTATAGATTCCTAATCTCTGATGTAACTATTAATCCTGTTAATACATCTACTACAGTTTACCAATGGGGCATGGCAACTTGAATCGAAATACGGCCCCCAAATGCCCTGGTATGGCCGAGGGCAGGGAGAGTTCACTTCTCCTCGAAGCGCTCTCACATGGCCTCGCGTATACAGTCACTGACAAGGAAGTCCTACTCACTGCTTTCTCACGGTAGGGGTGTTGTTAACGAAATTGAGAAGGCAGAAAGCGAATGTTCGGTGCTAAAACAGGGTTAGCAGGTTCAGGACCCACCTAGATGGAAAAAACGTGACTATAAACCAATGAGCTACAGGGCCCTAAGAGAATAAAGGGCGTATATACCTATTCCTGGTCGCCGGCTGCCATGGGACAGCATCTCTCAACGTCGCTCCACTATTTTATAGATTAGACCTCCAGGTCAAAGACTCGGTAGTTGGCCGCCTAAGAAAACCACCTGCTTCGGTTTGAGTACTCAGGGAGTACCCCAACTAACACAGATTCGATTATTTGTGTGGCGCATATATATTTGGTGCCTACTTGTACCAATGTTTATGTGTCTAAAAAAATGGATAGAATAGAATCAATATATACATGTCCCACAATCTACGTCATGTTTCACTGACCGACTGACTATATATGTTTTTTACATTATGTATTAAAGACTATATTATTTTGAACACAAGGAATAAAAAGGTCGTAATAGTAGGTATACAACCATTAAAAAAATTTATTGGCATTTAAATATCCAACGAAAGGTATCAAATAAACGTAAAACTTACCTCAACACATGATTTCGGTAAATAACCTGAGTGACGAGATTTCAAAGAAGTAGCAAGGACCCAATCGGAATTTGGATCTTCATAGATTAGTAAGAAACGATCATTAACGACACATCTACAAGATATAAGTATTGAAACAATCAATCAAACTGTCAATCATAAGAAAGCAATACTTTGAGGGAGTGTACGTATTGTACTATACAAATTACAATAGATCACCAATAACTTGGAAAAACATGGACACACGTCAATATGAACTTTGATCGCGAACAGTGTTGATACGAGTCTAATCCTTTTTACAGGTGTAAACATCTGGTAGGCCAAGAAATATTATATATGTGCTCAGTAATAACAAAAATCGTGTGTTAACGCTCAGTAGCTTAATACTGAGACATCACAACAGTGTTATCGTATAAAAAGCAATCGATAAAGAAATTAGGACAACGCTGGAAAAAATACCAAAAAAACTATCTGCTTTGGGAAATATTCTTCATTGGAAAACACTACTTACTTACCCCAGACGATCGTATCCATTTTCTGGTTCAAAATCTTGTACAGCCCGTAAACGTTGAGTATGATATTCAATTGGGAGCTGAAGTTGAATTTTTAAAGACACATTTGACAAATGCACAGTGAAAATAAGAATCACGGTAGTAAATTTAAAACTAAACATGCACATAAATCCAAAAATGATAATAAAAACAATAAATATAGCTGTGTATTCATCAATTCAACCGCTTCTGTGGGCCAGTGATATGAGGTACATGATTCAGCAAATCCGCCAACGTACTACCATCTGGTCTGATTGACAAAAGGACATTCAAAGGTGATTAAGAGTTCTATCCTCGCTAAATTTGTCGGAACCTACAAAAAAAAATCTAACCCATCTACCTAACAGATGTTTATACAACCTATCTCCCTACCTTGGTCATCGGTCGTACAATAGAATGTTGTTAGATAACTCTGATTTACTTCACTATTATTTTAAAACACTTTCAGAATTTTTCCCATCTTACCGTTTTTACGTAATTTTAGTATGTCTCTTTAGTTTTACGCAACTGGCAGCAAGACGTCTAGTGTGAACGAAACAATCTGCGGGGATGATAGGACGCCAAACACTAACATCCATCGACGTCTTGGACGATGAGCAGAATTTCTCGAAGGGCATTTCAACTGGCCTGCTGCTCCGGCAACATCGGTTAAGACTGGGAGGATTCTAATCCTGTACTCACCCTGGATGGTGAGCAGATAGAAGTAGTCGAGGAGTTCGTGTATCTGGGTAGCTGCATAAGTGATGGTGGTGGCGTGAGTGATGAGATCAATACACGTATAGTGAAAGCCAGAGCGGCTTATGCTAATATGGGCCATCTTTGGCGCCTTCGTGATGTCAGTCTGGCTGTAAAAGGTCGGATCTACAACACGTCGGTGAGAGCAGGTTTGCTCTATGCTTGTGAAACCTGGCTTCTCCGAGTTGAGGACGTTAGACGACTCTCTGTGTTCGATCATCGTTGTCTCCGAAGAATTGCTGACATCCAGTGGCAACACCATGTTAGTAATGCAGAGGTTCGGCGTCGTGTGTTCGGGCACAGAGATGATAATTCAATTGGTGTCACCATCTTGAAACACCGACTTCGGTGGCTTGGACATGTTCTACGAATGTCGTCCCGGAGAATTCCACGTCGTGCATTATTTGCCGACTCTGAGACTGGTTGGAAGAAGCGGAGAGGTGGTCAGTGTATGACATGGTGTCGTGGTATGAAAGAAAGCTGCAAAGGACTGGGTTGTGTCGGTCCTTCACGACTCCCTGGTTGGGGTCTGAGAGATGGTGCTACACAGTGGCTAGAGACGTTATCTGATATGGCTCAGAATAGAAGCCAGTGGCGATCCTGCTGTAACCTTTAACTTTCTTCATAAAAAGTGGTTGTTTCTTCCTTAACTGAAAGATTTCTTCTGATTGTACCTTTCCGTTCCCTCATTATTACTACACTACCCTACACCGACCTGTTCGTTATTGTTCTTTTTTTACGCTCCTAACCTTTTTTTTCTTTCTCTTCGAATTCTCATTGTTTTGTGTGGCGCATATATACCGGCGCTCTCTTGTACCAATATTTATGTGTTCAAATAAATAAATTAATTAATTATTAAACTTTCCGAAAAAAAAATGTTGTCAATTTCCGTATTATACATCATAAAATTTCCTAAACGTTGAAATAAATGTTTTCAATCTTCATATATAACTGATTTTTATTATTATCCTTCTTTTGCAATTACCTATTTAATCATTCAACATTATTTTCATAATCACTGATGAAATCGTACAATCACTATGTATCACTACTAATCGACCGATGTTATTTTGATTGCAACCCATATATATCAGTGTAAAGCCATGATGAAAAACTAATTGAAAAAAGAGATATTTAAGCATTCTGTTCCTGTCTTACTAAATATAGCTGTAAGGTTGATAACAGTTAAATGTCTCATGAAATAAAGAATAAAATGCAAACTGTAATTGTTACTTAGCATTTACTTTAATGATTGAGTGTGATTTGTAAATTTTACAGCTGCTCTTCGATGCTCTTATTAGACATTGATTAAAGACTTATTCCAAAATTTTTTTTAAATACAAAAACCTCAAAGTTATTGAAATTATGTATATAAATACCAAAACATTTTATTGTGACACGTTCTCTAAATATTGACTTAAAACAGCTTGCTTATCATACGAGCTCAGTCAAAAAGCCCTTGATTTTCTTTATTCAATAGCTTATAATTTCAACTCAGTTCAATGACCAATGTAACAACATTAACATTTATTCACTTCAGATAGACATATAAACAACGCAAGACTTTAAAAAAAATATTTTAGTCCAGATTTTTATACCTAATATCAGCAAGCTGAGAAGGTTAACGTAGCTGGAAGAAAATAATAACAGATAATGCGGTAGAAAATTAAGTACAAGAAAAATGAAGTAAAGAATGAGGATGGAAACTGCAGAATTATAAGTATGTTGAAGGTTTACAAGGACAATTTAAATGAATAGATCTGTTCCAACGGGATAGATCCTGAAATATGTTACTAAAGTCTCTGACTGTCACTAAAGTCTCTGACTGTCACTAAACTGTAGCTTGGTACTTATAACAAAGTTTTCCATTACCTGTGTGAAGTGAAAAATTTAAGAACTAAGGAATTTATTTGTTTTGGATTCATGCCGTTAAGTGCTGCTAAAAATCTAACTAGTGCACTTCAAATGGAATTATGTTAGGTAGTCATTTCTTATTCATCTCAATAATTCATGAATTCCTTGAGTGCTATTAGAAGTATGAGAGCGGTGACCACTTCACAGCTGCCCACACTGTGGAAGAGTTCTCCTAGAGGGGCCTAAAAAGGAAATGGGGTTAGAGTTGGTTCTAGTGACCTGAGAGCGCGACCGCAGAGCCCAAGAAACAACTGCTTGCGACCAATCACATACGACCACTTTTGTGTTAGATCTATACTTATTAAGACCTTACAGCCAGAAACGGAAATCCGTGGTGTAAGGCGAGGTGTACATTTTTTGGACCAACCTTTTCTAACTCCACTCCTCCTTCTTGAAAAGGCGGCATCGCTGTCATACTGGTTGTCTGAAGGAAAAACCTTACTGCCATCACCCCGCTGAACGGTCAGCAGTACGATTTCCTTTTTGGACCTTGGGTTTTCGAATTTTATTCTTACCGTCCTTTAACCAACCTGCCTGGCATGGGTAAGACCTTGAGGAACGATTGTTCCAGCCAATAAAGCCTGAATGGTTCATAATGATAGGCAAGGCCGGACACCAAGTCAAGGTAACAACAACGGTTGGGTTTACGAACTCCAAATATGGTGTAATATATTGTTTAAATACACTTCATTGAGGGTCCTATCTTAACTTAAAGATGACAACTATCCAGCTAAAACCAACTGCATAGCGAATGTCTGAGGTTTCAACGCCAAAGTATTCTTCATGTTGATTAAACTTAGTAACAACGTAAAGAAATATTTACTCACCTTTGAGTAGGTTTGTGAGGAATATTGATTCTACTTGAAAGCCTAAACAGATCATAAATAGAGTGAGATGACAAGACAAAAAACTTATCTCACGACTTGATTGTTATATGCTACACAAAACGTTTCCGATATTTGACATCGTGTAGACGGTTATTTATTTGATTTGATTTTTAATGCTTTGTAATATCTCTTTGATAATATTTTTTCTTGATTTTGATCAGTCTTAGTTTAAACATACGCATCATACGTGGATAGCGTTGATATATCCATTATGGCACAAGTCTATATAGAGGTGGTGAGATGTTGCTAGCATACAGATAAATCCAACTAACGAGTCCCAAATAGAACGAAATGCAAATCTTAGGTTCTAACGCTAGTTAAATTCCATCCATCCCATAGATTATAAAAGTAGTTTTTCCCACTAATATCCAGGTATAGTAAGAACAGTTAGCGATTGAGTTATTAACTAGTTGTGGTTAGCGAATCCCAAACTATTTATTTATTTGAACACAAATATTTGTCCAAAAGAGCAATAAATACATATGCGCCACGCAATAACAATGAGAATGCGAAGAGATAGATAAAGTGAGTATAAGAAAAAGGAGAACAATAATAAACAGAGATTAGTGTATGATAGTGAAATAATAATAATGGGGGGGGCAGTTCAGTTAGCAAATGTACATCCAGAAAGAATTATTCCACTTAAAGAAGTTACGTCTATTTTTATGAAGTAAAAGAAGGTTACAGTACGATCGCCACTGGCTTCTATTCTGAGCCATATCTGATAACGTCTCTAGCCACTGTGTAGCACCATCTCTCGGACCCCAACCAGGGAGTCGTGAAGGACCAACACAACCCAGTCCTTTGCAGCTTTCCTCCATACCACGACACCATATCATACAATGACCACCTCTCCGCTTTTTTCAACCAGTCCCAGAGTCGGCAAATAATGCACGACGTGGAATTCTCTGGGACGACATTCGTAGAACATGTCCGAGCCATCGAAGTCGGTGTTTCAAGATGGTGACACCAATTGAATTATCATCTCTGTGCCCGAACACACGACGCCGAACCTCTGCACTACTAACATGGTATTGCCACTGGATGTCAGCGATTCTTCGGAGACAACGATGATCGAACACAGAAAGTCGTCTAACGTCCTCAACTCGGAGAAGCCAGGTTTCATAAGCATAGAGCAAAACTGCTCTCACCGACGTGTTGTAGATCCGACCTTTTACAGCCAGACTAACATCACGAAGGCGCCAAAGATGGCCCAGATTGGCATAAGCCGCTCTGGCTTTCACTATACGTGTATTGATCTCATCACTCACGCCACCACCATCACTTATGCAGCTACCCAGATACACGAACTCCTCGACTACTTCTATCTGCTCACCATCCAGGGTGAGTATAGGATTAGAATTCTGCCGGTCTGGTGGAAGTACTTTGCACTTCGGAGGTTTAAATCACATACCATACCTACGGACACTGATTGCCAACTGATCAAGTGTGGATTGCATGGCTTGGGTATCATCACACAGTAAGACAATATCATCTGCATACTCAAGGTCGAGAAGTCTTTCTCCAGGCAACAGATCCACACCATCATTAACTACATCCATCAGCTGTTTCCAGAATGTCATCGATGGCAAAGTTGAAGATGAATGGTGAGATTGTGCAAACCTGTCTAACCCGACTGCTTGAATGGAACAATGGACAGAGGTGGTTGCATGCCATCACTCCGCCTGAGGTGTTTGTATATAGGGCTTTTAGGATCTTAATAAACTTCTCAGGCACACCCTTCAATAGACAATCCCAGAGAACAGTCCTGTCCAACGAATCGAAGGCAGCCCTAATGTCAAGAAACACTACGATTGTTGGTCTTTGATAAGTATGGCAGTGTTCTAACATTTGGCGGAGGGTGAAGATATAATCAATACATCCTCGACCAGAACGAAAACAAGCCCATCTTTCTTGGGTTTTGAGCAACCTACGTAGTATGACGGAAGCCAATGATTTGGACGCAATCGGAAGTAGACTTATCCCCCGATAGTTGTTACAGGAACGACGTGAATCCTTTTTAAAGATAGGGACAACTATTGACTCATTCCATGATGTTGGTACACTCTCTAGCTCCCAGACCTTTGTAAACAACGTCGTCAGTTCCTTAGTGAGAAAGTCGCCACCATCTTTAAAAAGAGCTGGAGGTAAGTCATCTGGGCCAGGTGATTTGTAACGCTTCAAGAGTTGGAGTTCCTTGCGGACTTCCGCCTCATTTGGTGGATCAATCGTCACAGGCCATGGAGGGCACGACAATCTGATTGGCGCTGCCAGAACAGCAGATCAGTTGAACCGCTCCTCGAAAAAATCTGCTCATCTTCCTAGACGTCAACAGATGTTAGTGATCTCCCGTCATCTTCACAGATTTTTTCACTCACACCAGACATTTTGCTGCCTGTGGTTTGGATAAGTTGAAAGAGCTTCCGGCAGTTACCAGATGCAGCTGTTTCTTTCAACATATTTGCACGCTCCAACCACCAGGCTTACCGATCCTTACGCAAGCTTTGCCCAATTTCATTACGTAACCGTCTTCGTTTGTGGTCAAACTCGCGGTCACCTGGAATAGATAGACGAACTTCAATAAGTTGTAAAAAGATTGAAGAAACCCAGTGCCTATAAGCGGGACGTTTCGCGAATCCACAAGTGACTTTACTCACCATTTTCAGTGCGCCATGCAATCGCAACCAATGCTCATCTATACTTTTCGGTAGGTTGGTAGCTAACTTTGAACCTAGCTCGATTAGATATTTAGTTGCAACAGAAGCTGCAACCAAACATGATACTATCTAAGCATATTTGTCTTTACCATCTCTATCATAATACCTAACTTCCGATGTTAATCTGCTAGTAAAGTATACCAAATGTTATATAGTAAAACAGATTTGGACAAAGACTTACGCTAGTAGGTGGGATGGGATGCTTAAGTCGCTCTCCTGTCATTATGTCACGAGTGTAATACCTTGACAAACATCCATCTAAGCTATCGAAGAATCTCCCACCAATTTGAAAACAGTTAAAACGAGGAATAAGTCTAAATAAAACTAAACTTATTAGTAACTTAAGCTCACCTGAAATGAAAACAAGCAAAGGTTGAAGAGAGGTATGAGAGAACGTAAATATCCTCCCACGTATCACCGCCGTGTGCTGCACGACTGAGACGAAGAAGATAACTGTTCGCTATCCCAAAACTTTGCAAACGCTTTTCCGCCTCAGCTCGATCAATGTAGCCATGATAATACCTAAAACAAGACCTCGAAAATGCGGTCAATCAATCTACGTGTAGATTTAGTGCAATAACAAATTTATGTGGTGAAACTCGCTAGAACGTCGTTGATAAGTACGGCAACCGTCTTTGAACACATTAATAGGGAGCGATTAAGGCGTTAGAAAACCTATATATCAGACTAGAATACACTAAGCCAGCACTTTCATTGTCTGCGTATACGTAAGACCTTTAGAGTGAAACCAAGCGACTTGAAAGTCGTATCATATACTTCAATCAGGAAGTAAAGCAATGAAGAGCCATCAAATTATTTTGCTTCCTGTTCTGTGAATTTATCCCATAATGTTTCAGTTGGATAGTTCGCAAAAAACAATTCTAGTCAAACATATTTTTCAAACAAAAGCAAAAACAGCTTGAGTTGTAAAAAAACCTTACTAAGAGAGTCATGTTAATGATGTTGCTCTGGGTGAAGCGCTCAACTTTGAATTTATAGACCCTATGGTATATTGGTCGACAAGATCGTGTACTACATACTTCTAACCACTGATTCTAATGAGCTACAGCATTTCATGACAGTTAACTAACCCCTTCTGGTACTATATTGATGTTTAACCCCATATTAACTACTTTGGATGGATAACAACAACCCATCACCGTAGCAATCACGGGAACATTAGTGCATCATTTTCAGGCTCTATTCGTATAAGGGAGAGCTTGACTTTGCAAACCATATTGGTTGTTCGTGATTACCTGTCAGTTTCTAATGAGACTCCACTTTATAGTCACAGGTAGAAAAAATTTGAAGTCCAAGGCTTGGCATTATTTGAAACGAAATTACTTGGAATACTGAGCACTGAAAATATACTTCCACCATTAAAGATGCTACTGATTGTTTGAAATTAGAAAACAGTAGATCATTGGATTACCGTTAATGTTATTAACCTTCGGTTAAACAAAACATTTATTTGTTGCATAACATAACTCGAGGCATTTCTATAGAAGAAACCTCCCATCTACGTGGTCAGCACAGCTGAAGGGACAAGACGAAAGAAGTACTATTCGTACAATTTACATGGTAAATAAGATCACCTTATTAAAAAATTAAATTAAAAATCGATAGTGTCACGGGTAATATTTAGCTTCAAAGTTCTCAAGTAAACAACTCTTGTCACTATCGAGATAAAAAAGAACTAGATCAAACATTTATCAGCTCACTGTTCCAGAGATGGTAAGTCTTTAATGACACAATTATCTCCAACTGTTGATTCTGGCATTGCGAATGATTTGCACAGTGGTTAACCTTCAAAGCGTAATTCCCACTCGTTTCCCAAGGTGATTCCCCCATAAAAATAAACACTCGGTCCATTTTGTATCGCTTTAGTAAAAAACCTGACCTTAACGTTTTTCGTTTCCAGAAAATAACAAACATTTGAGCCTTTTAGATCTATTTTCGAAGCAATAAGGCTCAGTATCTGTTTAATTTAGATTAGGTTTACACTTGTGCATTCAAGTTCTACTGACTGCATAAACCAAGTTTCTTGGAGTGTGATTACATCCGACTTGGTGGAGTCTATCAGAATACCTAGATCCGATCGCTTATTGAGCAAGCTCCAGGAATTTTTTAACAGATCCAGAGCCTATTTAAAAGTCGTACAGCTGCACCCATGATAACTTTAGTATCATTCTCTGTCGAGGCCTCACAACCCTATAATTTATAATTTTGAGGTCTTTCTCTAAGGTATCTAACCTGATTTTGGTTCTTTTTCGGTTTCTCATCTCTTTACATGTTCCACAAGCGGCAAGTGTTTACCGACAAAAATTCCTGACCAATTTAGTTTATACCCAGTCTGTCGTATTAGGACTCATTTATTGAGAGATTTTAACACTATCATGAGCAGCGTGGTTTGATTCTGTTTTAAATTCACTTGGCTTACTAATCTATACACCTTTGGCAAGCTGACTTCGGAGATATCATCAAGCGTTAGCTGGTTTAGTAACTGGTTTGACAACCCACCATCATGCTGAAAATGAGTCTTAGGTTCTTAACTTTCATTCTCCTTGATTCAATAAAAGATAACTGACTTAACACTATGATCATTCTTTAATTTCCTCGCTACTTTTGGGAAGATCATGGACGACTTGGGTGGCCAGGTCCTTTTTCCTGCCCTGTGATTTGGTCTTTAAGTGTTTCCTATCTAGTGTAAGATCCATTTTGAAGGTTTTGTGTGAGAAAATCCCTCCATGTATACATTTGTGATTTATTCCTATTGATTCCTTCAGTTGTACAGCTTGTCAGTCTTTTTGATTCCATTTGAGATGGTAATATTTGTATTTTATTAGTATTAATTTAACGTACGCCTTTCCTAGGTTTCCATGTTTCTTCCCGAATTGCATTTACGTTGTTTTAGTTTGTACTTAGTCTTGGCGGCAGCCACATTAGTTTGTTTCCCCCTTGATTGTGTTGCTTCCATTGACTAGGATTGTGTATTCTTCGGTCCAAACCTTAGTTTGGATTCTACATCGAGAGCCTCTGTCTATTACTCTATTGCTATAAGGAGGTTCATTGTGCAAGAAAATCCCTTCATGGAACCATGTTATTCTCTGTCTGACAAGTTGTTAGTTTCAACGAATGTCATCACGGCCATTCTGAATGTTCTTTCCAGTATTTTAACTGCAACACTGGTGAAGCTGACAGATATTCAGTTTGATGAAAGTTATCTTGATTCCATTTTATTTATTGAAGTGACAATTGAATTCTTCCAGTTCGTAGGTAACTCTCCTTGACCTTTAGTGCACCCTCTTGATCAAAGTCTATAGTGAGCAGCCGATCTCGTGACTTTACATTTGGCTTTACCTCTTCATCTAGAAGCTGCCTCCGAGTAAAAGCCGCCTCGGCGTAGTTCATTATGGCTTCTGCTTTGTCCCGATATTCCTCTATAGTTCGGGTTCCACTCCCTTCAGTTGAAAATCTATAATGTTTCGAATTATTTGAATCATAATATGAACAAAGAATCACAGCAATAACGTAATCGGATCAAGAAGTACTTGATAACCGCAAACAAATGTACTGTATTTAGAATTCGAAATCAAGCATTCAACAAGTACAGAGGTATATTTAGTTCATTCAAACACTACAGAATCCAACGATGTATTCTTGATTTGTAATTTTTGTATGAGAACAGTTTCTTCGGACGCTTGATTAGAGATTAGGTCAACTCTTTTTCATAATTTTGCTGAGCTGCCAGGTTAAGCTCACACACTTAATTCGGACGGACCTGTAGCCCTCTATCGTGTTTGCTGTGCCAAGGCCGATGACGACCTTCCAACATTTCATCTTTTATCTTGGCAAACGTCGAATATTCCGATCTACCCAGAGATAGTTGTGCTTCACCTTCTTTGAAACTGTCCAGGATATAAATGGTTGAGTTATTTGGTTTTTTAACTGCCGGAAATTAGTCAGTTTTCCGGTTTTCAGTCGAGGCTGCAGAGCTGATCTTCTTCATGTTTCTGTTCCATATGTTGGAACTGGCCAGCGCAACTGCTTAACAGATCATCTCAGCCCTGAACTTGAATAAGATGACCACATGATCACTTCCTCTTATGAGCGTGAGGGACTGTTGAAATCAACACTGTATATAAAGACTAAGTCCAAGACAGACGAGGAATTTGTAAGTGCTATTTGATGGAAGCTCTAATGCGCTGAAATGAAGCTAGCAAGGTGGTGGTTTTCAACCATTTGTAATCAGACAACTCTTATGACCCTAATTATATGTTTCGCCAATTTATAGAGGTGCATTAACATCACCGACTATAAGGCTTTTACGCCTGTTTGACTAAGATTTAAGTTTATTTAAGGGGACATCATACACTACACATTCAGGACTTCAGTGTAGTATTAACCCGATATCTTACAGTTTGTATTTCAGCCGACAGCACTCCAGTTCACATGTCACTGTCTCAACAGCTAGTATGTTGACGTTGCCTTTCATGTATAGAACAATCTCACCACTTCTATAGTTTGATCGATCAGCCCTGCAACTAGGAAACCAAGAAACTGAAATTCATAATCATGTGGTTTTAACGCTAACCATGTTTCTGAAATGGTAAAGACATCACGGCTTTTTTTCCACTAAGGTTTTCAGACCCTCCACTTTATTAAATTCTGTGAAGAACATTCTCGTAACACGTAGAGTGGTTTGGGGATAGTTCAGCTTCAAACTGTTACACTATGAAAATCCTTAAGCATACGTTTTTCGCACGATTTCGACGGAACTTATTTATGTCTCACTCAGTCGATCAACCAGTCGGAGATCCCCACTGAAAAATGTCCCGGATCCAATCAGTTCTTGTGGATTTTGCACTATCAGATTTCTTTCATCAAAAGAAGCGGAGTAACTTTTAATAGAGGGCTTTTTATGTCCATTCGGAATCCTATTTTCGTTCTATTCTATGAAACCTGTCAGTTCTGATTCCTGCTACTTTCTCTTGGAGAAGCCGGTCTATTAAGTACTTAATGTGGCTTACAAATACTTTAAACCTAGCCAATAGTTCATTTACCAAGGACTATCATAACTTATGAAAAATTACTGACCTCTCTGCGATATTTAGTATGACAAGCTTTGAAGTTTTATTTCCTGAACTCTTCTCGTCCCTACAGTCCAGTTTGCATCGAACGCCCAGGTCTCACTCGGTCTCCTTAATTTTCTAGGTGATACAATAAGCCACTGATTGACCTTATTTTGCTTATTAAGCAAATCATCTACGACGTTCCGGCTTCGTTCCATCTCGCCTGCTGCTGGCTGTTTATTTGAAAGCATCTAGCTGTGTTTTGCAACACATTCGCTTGAAGAATCAGCAAAGACTTTGTAGGGCAGCATGCTTTGCATTACCAACGTCGTTTGAAACAACTTTGATGGTACTGGCTCCTAACCGCACGATCCTCGAGGCTCAACATATAGTTGCTGTAAAGATTGAAATTCAGCATGTAACACTTCGAGGTTGGTAATGGTGAAAGTGATAAGTCCTGCTAATTGAACGCTATATTCGGTTCCTAAGCTATTCTCGTAACACCCAAGGTAGAAATAACAAGCGACCTGAACACGAGAGAAAAGGCTCAAAATATGAGAGAAGCACTTTACTCCAAAGGTCCGTTTTAGTACAGAAAATATAGAATTTTTATAGTATTTTAGATGTTCTTGGGTTTCTCGAAGATTCTAGAATGCTACTAAACATAGTAGCAGCACAGTAATCAGCCAATCAGAAACTCTACATGTGACTTTTCAGTTTCTTGATGTTTCTGGCTAAAACTTCAAGTGAACGCTGATTGGATGAAATGTTTCATAGTGTTTCCTGAGCCTTTCTTGTCTTTTGCGAGAAGTTTTCTGGATCACCTCAACAGAAAGCAGGAACAATTGCTAAGCATTGAATGGCTCGGCCTCATATGTGTGGTCATTATATGTAGCTTATTGCTATCCAACTAAAATATGTTATTCTATCTCCAGCCCAAATGTGTTCTCTAGAAGTGCTACACATCGTATTTCTGATTTTCACTATACGACAAGTCAGTGAAGAAAATGATGTAACTTCCACGTAAGATCTTATAGGTTAGGTAGTCACGTCATGGCAAATCTACAGTTTCGAGATAAGATCTGTTATGATAGTAGCAAAGACAAATGTACCAATATCGAAAAGAGTCATAATGTCATACACCTTTAATATGCAGTCGGTACGGATAAAACCTCAGGTTTAGCGCAGAAATTTGGTCACACTTAAAGTTCCAACTAAACGGGAAAAGTGTAAATACACATACTGCTCGCAAAACAGCTGTTAAAACAAAATATAAACATCTCACTACCGAACCATTTTACTCAATTTCCGGCCCCGTCAATCGGCTGTACACAATGTAGAACATTGTGCGTAGGCAGAACAGTAAAATTTCCGGTGAGATTATAATTTATGGACGACCTTTGAGCGATGCTAAAGTGACCTTGACAATGTTCACCTACTGACTAGGAGTAAATGAGTATTATAAAGCAGTGTGAAGAGTCAGAAACATGATTTACAGTTGATGGTTAAGGTTAGGAATTAGATTAAGGGTTTTCATCACGAACTGACATCAGCAGTAATGCCAAGACACTGTTTAGGCAAATGGATGGATGAATTTTGCCCCATTTAAAAATAAAGCAATCTATGGATGCTTGTAGTTAGGAGACAGCTATGACCAGACTGGACGTTGTGACAAACCGAAATCTAGCTGGTTAAAAACTATATTTTAACAACAGTATCAATCCTTAATAGTAATTCGTTTTTCGGCTCGTGAATTTCAGCAAATG